TTCATTCAAGTTTCAATGTCATTCAGATATTTATCTAGATGATCAATATATATACTACTAGCATAAATTTATGGTGTTTTTTGTGTGTTTCAGTTTTTCAAGTTGTTGTTATTTTTTGATCAATGTTCTATATTTTCATTGTAATCAACTGTTCGTTGATTATGAAAAAAGTTTTGAATGTGTGTCGTTTCTATGTGTATGTGTGTGTATGTGTTGTGTTGTATTTTTCTCGGTGTTCGTGTTTTGGATTGTTCATTTCTTTAAATTGATTATCTTGTTATTGTGTTTGTGTATGTGAATTTTTTTCTTTGTTTTCACTTTTATCGAGAATCAATCCAAGCTTTGGGTTTTGAAAGTTTCCAGTGAAATGAATCATCCATAAAGCATCCAACTTTGTGTTTTTCATCATCATCATCATCATCATCATTGTTAGAAGCAATATATAAAAGACCACCTCTTTTATTCTTTCCCCCATCACCGTTACATTCAACGGCATTTCGGGACTTAATCAATTCTCTTCTGGGGCTTCTTTTTTTTGGATTGTTGACTAAAACAAACTGACTTTTACGATTCGTTTGTATTAGAGATGTCTTAATTTCATCTTGCCGAATGAATTTAGATCAACTCCCGAATGGCTGATAAGAATCGTTTGCAATCATCATCATCATCATAATCATCATACCCGGAAAAGCCTAACACATATAACAACAACAAGAAAAGACAATCTTGTCTCGTTTATTTTCGAAACGAAAAAGAAGAAAATTCTTCAACTTTTTTTTGTATTTGGTACACACTTTCGAATAGATCAACATACACTCTAATCATTACTAATTCCCTTGGATTTGGTATGATTTTTTTTTCTTCACATTCATTCGTAAGAAAACAACGTGTACTACATATAGTGTAACAGTCAAGATAGATAAACTGAACTTTTCATCACCTAAATGTACACATTACAGAACAATACTGTCAGAAAAATAGCAAGATGTTTGTTTCAATTAATCACAACGAATAACTACAACAAATATTGTCATCGTCATCTTTTACAATCAAAAAACAACATATAAAAATCTATATCTAAAGAATCTAATCTATACAAGTGGAAATGATTCGTTGATGAACACAAATCTAATCGAAAAGAATACAGAAAAAACTTACCACTAGGCATTTTGGATGGAAAATAACGCAGTAAAAATACATTATTTATTCTCTGTTTTTCCAAGTTTTCCATTGTAATCAGAATTGAATTCGAAGAAAAATTCCAGAGACACAAAAAAATTTCATCCATTTTTTCATCACCATTATTATTTATTATTATTGTGTTAATATAACATAGCTACGAAAATCATCTTCATTCTATGATTCTTTTTTTCTGGGTTTGGTTGAAAATTGCTTTGTTTTTCTCTAATTTTTCCATCTTGAAGAAATTCCATTCTTTTCTTACTTTATTTTTGGATTGAGATCACAATATTTTTCTTCAATACGGTCATCATCATCATCATCATCATCAGTTATATGCCATTTCAATTATTGTTAGATCGACTGAATGATATGTGTATTTTCGTTAACAACAACGGCGCCAAAAGGCGTATTTTTTTCTACTGGCCCTTATTTGTTGTTTATCGTATACGTTTGCTTGAAATTAATTAGCTTTCATTTCATTGTTTTTTCTTCGTCAACAGAAAATTTCTTTGTTGTTGTTGTTCGATTCTGGATTCTTATTTCGGAAAAAATTCCTATCTATATGTTTGTTTATGATCATTCACTATTCTCTTCAAGTTTTGAAATCAACAGCAACAGCAGCATCAACAACAACAACAACGGCGAAGAATCCCATTTGAGATACACACACATACTCTCATAAGATAATTGATGAGATTTTGTTATATTCGATTCTGGAACTCTTTTGTTTGCCTCTCTTGTTCGTATCTAACTAAATAATAATAATAATAATAAAATACAACAGCAAACATACTCTTTCTTTTTTCTTCTTCATTTTCATCTTGTCTCTTCGTGACGCCCAGAATGTTAATAGAATAAAATGGAAAACAAGAATGAAAAATAAAATAAAGAAAACGAATCTGATGAAGAATCTTCAAGTAATAATAAGAAAAAACATCAAACATAAAATTCAAGAGTAGAGAAAAATTCCCTGTTGAGATTTCTTTCGTATAACTCATCATCATCATCATCATCATCATCATCATCTTGTATTTGTTGTTCCATTTGATGAACATGAAGAAATACAACGATAACAATGGCCAAATGAATTTGAGAGGGAAAAAACAATTCCAATATCATTCACTAAACATAACAACAATGACAATTATTTTCCATTTTCAAATTGAATATATTTTATAAATTGAACTTTGAAATGAAAACTTGTTTTGATCACATTCATAAATGATGAAATCGGAAATCATATGATTCTACAGAAGTTGACCCTAGATTGAAATAATGAATATCAAATGGAAAACGAAAAAAAATTCTTTTCTATTGATTTTATGAAAAATTTCCAAAAATCGGATGCCATTCTATCCAACTAAAATCATTCAAATAGCAGTAGTTTTTAGTGGTGGTCAAACATTTGACAAGTCACTTTCTTCTTTTCATCTTGAACAAACCAAAAATCAATCAAAATTTCTCCATTGCTATTACTATAAGCGACATAAAATATGTTTGGATTTTCAAAAAAATTTGATTCTTCGCCATCATCGTCGTTGACAACGACAAATATTGATGATTATAATATCGAATCATCATCATCATCATCGTCATCATACCGGATATCAAATATCGGATATTGTTGTTTCTGGTACACAAGTACTAAAAGAACGTTCATTCTATTAATCATTATGTTGTCATCTTGGTCATCATCATTTCCTTTCATTTCCAATTTTTCTACATCCAATTTTTCGAATATATTCGTAAATTGTGATGTCACCATTGTTGAATCTCAATCATCATCATCATCATCTGAATTCTATTATTCATCAACATTACCATCATCATCATTACCAACAAAAATAACTGAATCCAAATCATCAATTGATAATAAAACCAAAGCAATTGTCATCAGAAAGCCATCACAGAAATTGTCCATTAATAATAAAATTAATGACAATAGCATTATGACAATTATTCAACCAAAATCAACAATATGGCGTCATAGGCCTAAATGGTTGATCAAGACAAATTCAACATTGATAACAACAACAACAACAACAATACCACATACTACGACGAAAGCAACAAATAGGTCAACAACAATTCGTGAATCTAAACACAACAATCAAAGAATATTTGATAATAAAAATACTTTCATAAATATCAATGATGATATTGATAGTGATGATGGTGTTCGTGATAATATTGCCTTATCTTTATTTTCATCATCTTTTATTCCATTACCATCTTTATTTGATGATCATCGTCATTTTTATCATCATCATAATCATAGTTATGGCCATCAATTGCCATTCACACCATCATCATCATCATATCGACCAAAAAAACAACAAAAACGAGCTATTTATTGGACAAATGATGATTTGGAACAATCATCCTCCTATGATTCATTATCATCAATTTTGTACCAAAAACAGCAGCATCGTAAGCCATTGTTTGCCTTGAAATTACGAACCAAATTACCATCATCATCATCATCATCATCATCAACAATGATGACCACGACTACGTCAACGACAAATAGTGATAATACAATTAAATCTACTGTTTATGATGATTTTTTCCATTATCGAGCTATTAATGATCAATCTATTGATGAATTTATGCTTGCCGATAGTCCACAGATTGGTAATATAGAACAAGATGATGATGATGATGATATGAATAATGATTTTTATCATTCATCATCATCATCTTCATCGAAAAAGCAACAAATACGTATAACTAGACATCGGCATAAAAATTCGGAAAAAGATTTTGGTAAATTCTTAAATTATTACATTCCATTAAAAAGCGCACATACAATAGGAATCACACCTTTGGGGCCAATTTTTTTCACAAGTAGATATTTCATATGATTTTTTTTTGTTTAATTTTTTCTCGTCGTTTTTTCTTGGAAACATAACGACTAATTCATTGTGATACAATATTTATTTAATATTTAGGTTTTAAATAACTCAATTGGGAAAAAAGGATAATTTCATCATGATGATGATGGTTATGATTAACCATTCCAGTAATAATAATAGTGAAAAACAAGGGCAATGTTCTTTAACGTGTTTGCGTGTGTTTCAAATGTGGATAAAGATAAAACCAGAAATAAAAATGAACCGGTGATCTAAAATAAATGAGTAAAGCAAAAACAAAACTTGGTACAAAATTACGAAAGAAAGAAAAATTTGTTGATAATTATTACAAATGGATGAACATTTGGTAAGAGAAAGCAAAATAGGAAAGAATGAAGCAAAATTTTTATTCTGTTGACTGTAGAATCTCTTGTAAATGGATTGGCCTAACTTCTGGCCTAATTCTATATTAAAGAATGACAACCAGATTCTCATTCAGTACCTTTTTGCATCAAATACAACATATAAAAAGCAGTGAGACAGAAAAAATCTGTTATTCTAAAGATCTAATGGAATGTTTATTATAATTAAAAATAATTATTGTTATTTTTTTCGGTTTGGTATAATTATTAGTAATGATGATACAACCAAAAAAAAAAATATATGCTCAAAAATACCACTACCACGTTGTTACTGTAACCATAATTATCCAAATCATTTTGTCGAGATCATATGGAAAGCGAGAAAAAAAATATACCAGTAGTCGTTGGAATGAAATCAAAAAAAAAGTATAATTCCATTATAATCAAAGCCAATGTAGAAGTATAAATGCTGCATTTTTTTCCAAATGATTGATTAATAAAACAGAAAAACGATAATAATAATAATATTTTGATTAATAATCTTTCTATCAATTTCCACGAATTATTAATTCTAATTCAATATTCTTTCATTTAAAATATATAGAAATAATCGGCACATTAACCGGTGTTGCGGGTGGAAAGATTGCTTTGCCATGTAATATATCGACATCAACACCAAAAGATTCGGTTTCATTGATACTTTGGTACAAAGATGAATCGACTACTCCTATTTACAGGTAAGTTATGCTAGAATTATATTATCACAATCAAAAATTATTTTAGAATTCTGTTATTCTGGCAACAAATTCTTGAATGACAAAAAAAAAAAAATTAATTTAATTTTCTTGATGGAATAAAATTTTTTTTACATCTCTATTTCTTAAAATTATTTTTGTTGTTGTTTTTCATTTTTGTTAATTCATTTTACATTCAAAAAAAAAAAAAAAAATACCAACAACAATGAGAATCATATTGTGTAACATAAAAAAAGGCTTAATAAATTTTTTTTTTCTAAATTTGACATAAATGAATTTGATGAAAATAATATGAAAAAAAGTGAAAAAACATGTCTAGTGTTATTCGGCATTGTTGTTTTTATAAATATACGATTTTAATTTTTTTTTTGGCTTCTTATACTTCTCACATAGAATGACATAAACATGACATTTTGAAATTATTTTCCTTCATTATTCCAGAAACAATTCGGTTTCCATAATGGGGACCGAATCGTTTGACAAGAATTCAGACATTTAAATTCTGTCTATACTCTTGTTTTTTTTTGTTTTGCATATTATATGCATGATAACTATCAAAAAAAAAAAAAAAAAAAAAAAAGAAGAAAAAGAGAATAAAAATCGAAATATAAAATCAGGCCACAGAACAAAAATAACCACTAAAGCCACACATATATACCGCGAATAGGAATATAATAATATATTTCACACCAAACAACAACAACAACAACAAGTTCATGTAAATATAGATGTTTTGTGTGTGTGTGTGTGCGTTTGAATTCTATTGTTTTTTCCATTGGTTTGAATGTGTGTTTGTATTTTTTTTTTGCATCACCAGCATTATATAATTTTTTTTTTTGGTTTTGGTCGATTTGACATCAATTTTTTTTCTTGTCATTGTCAATGTGTGAATATAAATATCTACGGATGTCATATTCACAATCAATAAACATACATAAACAAGAAACAAGAACAATGACAATAAACGGAAAAAAAATTGTAATTGAATGGCATATATGATGGCTGTACATGTAATGATGATGATGATGATGATGATGATAATAGATTGTGAGAATTTGGTAAACAAAAAGCAAATTGAATCGATCACAGAGATCGATGGCCAATAATGGTTCGTACATTTTTTGGTTTATTTTTAATTTTTTTTTTGTTTCTTTTACTGTTATTGCTTGCATGATTTGAATTTCTTTTCACGTTTTTTTTTGTGTTTGGTTGGTTGCTTATGAAAAGAATTTTAAGCCATTTTTTGTTTTGCTTTGTTTTCAATTTTTTTGTTGATACTAAAATTCAAAACGAAAACTGATTATGAAGAAAATTTGAAATTTTTTTTCCTATGATGACTATGATCTATATTCAATTTTATCCTTGTTTGTACAATCATCGATCATATTCAGAACGTTTTTTTTTTTTCTTGTTGTTCTAAGATGTTGTTCCAAAAAAAGCCCAATGAAAATAGTCAAAGATGATGATGATGGACCAAGAATCGATTGATTCAATAACAATAGTTTGAATTTTGACCATTATATGGTTTAACCATTCACGTTTTTTGATAATAATTCCATATAATAGGAAAAATTGGGATTTGATTCGATACAGAAAATTTGTCCACACACAGACACAAGTTTAGTTCAGACGAAACTTAATCATCATAGTGAAGAATGATAAAAATAATTGATTTTTTCTCCCTGATCAATGATAATGATCATTGATTGTGATTATGATGATTGCAATCGAAATGGGTGATGATTATGATTCAAAGAAAGTCAGAAAAAAGAGGCAACCCATCTTCAATGATGATGATAGGCGCTGAAATAATGGAAAGAATGGAATAAAAAAAACGGGTCCATGACAACCATCAAAAAACAAAATTCATTTCAACTTTCATAAACACAACTATCGAATAATGGAAAAGCAAATATCGTTGTTTTCATTTTCAATATTATAACAATTAAACTAATGCTATCCTATATATAATAATGTTGGTGGTTATTATTTTTTATCATTATTGTTATTAGTTTATGTAGTTTGTATTTTTTTTTTCATTCATTCAATTTCATGTCAATGAAATTAAATGTAAAGCCATCATCATCATCATCATCAATGTGAATGAATGAAACATCATCATCATTTGTTCAGAGCCTTATACATGCACACAGGATTTGTATCGTATTTTTTTTTTGTTCTCTTTGTCCTCGGGTCGACTTGTTTTTTTTCTGTTATTATCTCATCATTGTTCCAGAATTTTTTTTCTTTCTTTTTCTCTCATATAATTCTATGTCATAGGTCTTTGTTTTTTTCCTTTCTTTGTTGTATATTTATTTTCAGCTTTTGATATATTCTAGAATCCTATTGTTATCACTGTGTGTGTGTGTTGTGAGTATAAGCAGGGATCCCGTTGTTGTCGTCATTTGGCCGGGCCTGTCTCACACGTATAGAATTCATCTTCCATCAAGAAAAAAATGACAATGATTATGACATTGTTACTAAAAACATGGTTCCAAGCCTCCCCACGCCTTCATTTGATGGCTATATTTGTTATTGGTTATTTTAGAATCATTCATTTGATTGACCGTAGTCGTAGCCATTATTTGGATTGTCATTAAACCAGAAAGGAGAAAAACAGCATAATTAAATGGAATGAAAAAGAATTTTTTATTGTAACAAAAATTGGCAGGTGATGATGGTGATCTTCAATTCCCAGAACCGTTGCAAACACAAACATAATTTGTCTTTGTCTGTTAACCACCATGATATTGTCAATATCATTATTTCGCTTCGGGCCATCAGTTTTATTTTCGACATAATGTTTGGCTATTTTTTTTATATTTTTATTTGTTATAGATTAGAAAAATTCAATTTCCGAATTTTATTTTCAGAAAAGAGGAAAGAATATTATCACTGTGAAATTCTCACACTTATATCATCGATGTTGGTTTCAATATATCAATCATTGATTAATCATTTTTTCGTTGTTGCTGTTGTTGTTTTAGCTTTTATTAATTTATTTATTTTTGTTCTTTATTTTATTCTTTTTTTTTCTTCACTCAGAATGATTTATGTTTGATTCCCTGTTTCTCGTTTGTTGTGTGTGTGTGTGTAAATGTGTCATAGATAAGAATGAACGTTTCATTTTTTGTTGTTGTTGCTGTGGAACCGTTACTTAGAACCGTTTAATTTTATTTATTGCCACCCAATATAATTTTTCAATTTTTTTTACTTCATTTTCACATACACTACGGAATTTTTGGTTTAATGAAACAAAAAACGAAAACGCCCAATTAAATCAATCCAAATGCTTCGTCGAATAGTCAGTCATTCATCATGACGCCTTTGTTCCAGTTAGTTTGCTTAGGGAAAAAATTCTTTTCGGAACCTTTTTTTTTGTCCACATTTTCTTTTCTTCATTCTTTCTCTTTTTCTATCTCTTTTATCTATTGTAGCTATATTCACTACCTATCAATAAAACCGATCGGTCTGATTGTTGTTGGTATTTATCATTATTGTTACACAAATGTCACTCATAATTGTATACAATTCAAAAAGAAAACAAAACTTTTAAAAATTTCAAGAATTTCTATTTATCTATAGCCTTTCAAGATTTTATTTTCATTTTCATTTTATTTTATTCAATCATTTAGATTTTTCCTGTTTTTGATCAATGTATTTGATTTGTTGTTATCTTTGGTTGGTTGTTTTTTTTTGGTTGATTTTTCTCATTTCATCTCATTTTCATTTTCTTTTGAATGAAATATTTGGTGATTGATGAATCTGTGGGTTCCGTTTTTTATCATTTTTTTTTCTAACCAGTTTTCTTCCTTCCTAAGTTTTCTTATTCTCAACAAAAGAAAATAGCACTAGAAGATTTTTTTTTCACTGAAGCTATTCTGATTCATTCCATTTTGTATTTTTCCGGTTGAATTCAGTTGATTTGAACCAGAAAAGACAACGTTCTTTGTATTTGTCTATGTTGTTTTCTTTGTTGTTGTTGTTGTCATTATTATTATTACGTTTGTCTCCGGATCTAGGTTTCTTCTAAACACACAGACACACGCATATGATGTTTGGTTCAATTCTTGTACGGGTAGAATCTTATTTGTTTCGTTTTTCGTTTTTGAACAGAAAAATACTAATTGAATTGCTAAAAAACGAAAAAAAAGCATAAGAAATCAAACAGAAGAATCGTCGATTCTTTTCAATTTTGTATTTTTTTTTTTTTTTTCGATCGTCTTTACTTTTCATTACAAATGTTGACTATGAAGAGAATTGAATGAATGGTGAATTTTAAACATACAACAAGGTGGGGATAGAAAGATTGTTGTTTGGGATGCTAAAGAAATCAAAATAATTGGCTACATAGTCTGTTCAAATCTTTTCTGTTTTTTTTCTTTTTGTTGGCTTCGTTTCTGTTGCCTTGTATTGTATTGTCTAGATAGATATATATTGATGACATAAGAGGCCAATTTCATTTTCGTTTGTTGAACCAGAATTTCGTTTGATTTTTCTATCTCATCTCCTGCTGCTGTTGTTAGAACAAGTTTCGATTATATCAAATTATTCTGGTCATATGGAGATTCAATTGCAAAAAAAAAAAAAATAATAATTCGTTACAACATTACCCACAGCAGCTGATTTTTTTCCATGATTATTTCAATCTCTTTTCTCATTGTTACATACCAATATTTGATTGAATCACATTTGATCTTGATTTTTTTTGTTATTTTTTTTTTTTGAATAGTGATGCAGATCAATAATAAGGATAAGTTTGTTTGTCTGTTTTTTTTCGTTGTTGCTATAATTCAACTACAATCTTAATATTATATCAATCAATTTGTTTTCTCTCTTTTTTTTGTTTGAAACTTTGAACCATGAATGATTGAATCATAGACGATGATTCTTATGCATTTTCTTTTGTTCATATTTTTTTTTTTCCGGATTTTAATTGCATTTGATTATTTCTTTTTTTCGATTTCATATCGATGATTATTTGATAGCAATATTAGTTCAGATGGAAAAATTTAATTTACCCTTAACATCATCATCAATATCAGAATCATTCGTTCATTAGATTTCTTTTCCATCGCTTACAGTCAATATTCTTTCATTCATTCATCCGAATCAAAAGGAAAAAATCAGCAAGAAAAAAATGGATTTTAATTAAAAGTTTCTAGGCCAAACAGTCATCATCATCATCATCAATGTTGGTCACCATTCCCAAATTCTTACAAAGAATTTTATTTGCTTATAATTATTATTATTATTATTTTCAATATCAATAAGCTTTTGATGACTAAATTTCTTGATTATTATTATTATTGTTTTTCGATTCAGAAATTTCTTTTCTTTCTTTCTCTCTTTCGCCTTCTCTTTCTTTCAAACTTCTTTTCATGTTCACTTTTCCATGATATATGATATATATTGGAATGCAATTTATAATGGTGTAAGAATTTCTGAATTTGAAATTAAATTCTTTGCACACATTTTGAATCATTGTATGTACTGTGTATATTTGTATATATGTGTTGTTTGAATTATCATCATCACCATCACCATCATCATTGGTTTCTTGCAAAATGTTTAAAAGTTCTGTGTTTTTTGTTTTGATTTCTCCTCTATACTAATTCGTTGCGTGCTATTCGTTTTTGTATTGTTTTATATGATGATTTGACGTGAATTTATTCAAGCAAATATCTTTTTTCATACAGACTATAAAGAAAGTTTTTCATTGAAAATAATATGTAAGAATGTCGGTATACATCATCATCTCTCTGATGCACACACACACACACACACACGCATATCAAAAGAACGAATAATAATGAAATAAGAAAAAAAAATGTTAAAATGAAATAAAATCAAGAAAAAAAACTAAACACAAACGCGGACATATCCAAAAAGAACGAAGCCAAGTGGAAACAAAGTTTTTTTTCTGAAAAAAAATTCTTAATAATGATAATAATAAAAGTAGTTAAAATAATGTTACATTGAATTGAAGAAAAAAGCTAGATTCTTTTCTCATTTTTTTTTGTTTCTCTTCATTCTATTCGAAGAAACAATCATCGTCAAATTCTTGATTGTAATATTGGTGAAGGCCAAATTCTGTCTATTGTTCAGGTCTTGCCGATAACGCGTCTCGAATAAACCAAAAACCAGAAAATAAATCAAACACGTAAAGGTCGATTAGAATCTCATTTGCATTAATGAATGAATCATTGAGCATATGAAATGGCTAAAATCTATAGATTGCCTTTGTCGTTTCCTATTTTTTTTAGTTTTCATTCAAATTATTGCTGATATTCTAGCCTTTGGTAATAGACGATCATAATGAAAATAAGTTTTTTATAGCCAAATGTCAGAAACAAAAAAAAAATCCGATAAGAAAATTGCCAAAGCAATCATATCCAATTTGAATTCGAAATAAAATGAAACAAAAAAAACGGATGAGAATCCAACCAGTATGGAAAATCCGAATGAATTTTCATCACTAGTTTTTTTTGTCATCAGTTTGTTCGTTTGCTGATTTTTTTTTTATTTTCGTCACTTTTTTTCAACAGAATCAAGAATTTGTTACATTTTTTCAATTATACAAATTATACATATGCTATGATTTTGTTTTCGCATTCATTTTGATTCATGATAATGATAATAATGATTTGAACCAGAAACGAGATTTTTTTTCAATCTTTCCGGTTGACAAAACCCGTTCATATGTCTTCGGGCTATTGAAATTTTATTGAATGTAATGTCATTTTAGCATGGAATTTTTTTTTCCATATTTTTGATTCTATTTTTGCAAATTCATACAAAATTTATTAAAGGGTAAAGTTGTCATACGTCATTATTTTCCATTCTAAATCAACATTATTATTATTATTATTATCATCACTTTTTTCGGTTTGGAACGATAGTATATTTCATATCCGATATATGATCGATATTCAGTATATAAACAGTCGCTGAGTGATGATGATGATGATGATGTGTGAAAAGCTAATAAAAAATTAGGTTAATTAAGTTTACTTTTGTCTCTAAATGATGATATAGCTGATTCGATTGATTCATCAATGATGACACAATTTCTTTATGGTTGTTTGATTCGATTCATAGTTATCATCAAAAAAAAAATGACAAAAATGAAAAAACCAGATGTCCTTGATTATGAAATAAAGCGTCATCAAAAATTTTGATCATCATATTGAATATCGTTTTGAGGAATTTTATTTCTTGGAATTTGATACTATTTTTGGCCTTCATGTTTATGATAACCATAATGATCTTTATAATATTCTGTCAAGAATTTTTACTATTATTATTTATTCAATCAAACATTAATCATGATTACCAGGACATGTCTTTCTTTCCGAAACTTTCTCACATAACAAAAAAAAAATTTTAATCGATGTAAAACTGTATCATTAAGTATGTATTAACCAATAAAAATAATTTTGTCCTCCTTGGTCTCTGGGCCGATCTGGCAAAACCTAATCAATAATGAATTCTTCAAGAGATCTTTAAAAAGAGAGAAAATTTTTGATTGATCCCTATGCATTGAATAGAATTTTCGAGAATGAAAGTGTATTGTTGCCTTTTTTTATTATTTTTTTATGTATTTGTGTTTCAGAGGTATCAGAATATTTATTGTGATCTGATCCATCATTGATGATCTTTTGGTCTGAAAATGAAAAAAAATGCTTCACTCCAGAATACAACAAATGAAAAACATTTTTTTTTTTTTTTTTTTTTTTTTGTTGCAAATTGTCTTTTGTCATGTATTTATGCGTGTGCAGTAATTAGGTACTGAAGTTTGAATATGGTATACAAGCGAAACAATAAAAAAAAAATTTTTACACTAAATGAATTTCTATCGTGACTTGGAGTAATTGAATACTTGGTCCAAAACTTTGCTATCTTTTGAAAATGAGAAATTTTTTCTTTTTTACAAAATCAGCTTATTCATAATAAACATTGCAATAAAGCACATATAATTGAATCATATTGAAACAAAACAAAAATAAGTTTTAGCTTATTTTCTTATTGTCTATCTGGTCATTGTTGTTTTTTGTGGTTTGTTAAGTTTTTTTTCCGAATAATTTCATTTTAGTTTTAATTATCCATGATAAATTAATTATCCCATTTTTTCTGTTTTTTTTTGTTAATAGTGTGGACGCCCGTAAAGGCGTTAGCCTTGAAGCTGCAAGACGTGTAACGGATGAAAATCTTGCATCAAGAGCCTATATGAATACTGGTACAAGTGGATCATCATCACCATATGCACATTTAATGTTGGAATTATTAACACCCGATGATGCCGGTGAATATGCATGCAGAGTTGATTTTCGTAAAGAACGTACACGTAATTCGGTGATATTTCTTAAAATAATTGGTAAGTGGAATTTTTCTTTTTTGACGATTCATTTTTATGTAGTATATTTAACGAGTTGTAAAAGTGGTGAAAAAAATTGATCCATGCTACAACTCGAATCTTATTTCATCATCATTTCACATGAAATCGTTATTAAATCCCCTCATCTGAAATAAAAATTGATATCCGATTCTGTTACCATTAAAAAAATGCATATCTCGGGTATTATCTCAGTGCAAACAATTCACAAAATAATACCAAACACACACACACACACACAAACAAGACAATTTCACAAGCTTACGCTTGTGATTAATCAATTCTTTTTTATTTCTATATAATTTGTTTGATTCTCATAAAGAAAAAAAAACGCACAAAGAAAGAGAAAAGAAAGCTTAATCAAATGTATAACAAAAAACATTTAAGTGAAATTCAAGCCCAGACACTGACGATGATGATGATGATAATAATGACAAACAATGAAGCCCATGATTGGAATGATCCCGAATTAAGGATTCTAGAGATGATTATTCTTGTTTTTTTTTCTCTCTCTCTATTCGCCTTGGTCAAGTATCCAATTCTTTATGATGATGGAAAAAGATTCAAGTACTTGATCTTTTTCTATCTTTCTTTCATATTGCTCGCTCTTTCTTTCCTCTACCATTGTTGTTTTTATTTCCAATGATTATCATGAAGATGATTACGATAAAATTTTCATCGCATTGATGATTATTATTAGGATGAGATTATTTCTTACAATGTCCACTTGCTTTTTTTTTATTTTCGTGGTTCGTTTAATATTCTTATGGTTGTTTTCTCTTTCTATATAATAATTATAATATTGTACAAAAAAAATCGTACAATAATTTGTATGCTTTGTAAGAATATTCTGCTTTTGTTTTTTTTTTTTTTTTTTGTTCGTTTCCTATAGCATTTTTGTTTCTTCTTCGGTTTTCTTTATAAAAATGAATGTGATCATATGATGTTGTTCCACAAACACACACACACACACACACACACACAGAATCCATCGAATACCTATGTATTCTTTATTATTTGAATGAATAAAATACATGGATACAATTTTGGATGTATATTTCCGAATTCTTATGTTTGTTTCAATGTTAATTTATTGTTATTGTATTGAATATATATATAATATTCAGTGTAGTTGTGTGAATGTTGAATTTTTTTTTCGTATAAGTCACGAATATCAGAAAAAAATATTCTATATGTTTGCATGTAAAGATGAGAAAACTAGAGAATTGTTTCGTGTGTGTGTGTGTGTGTGGAACATCTTTCTTTTCAAAACAATAACATTCGAATCTGGAATCATATTGGTCAGAAAAAAATAGAATTCACTGTGTGTGTGTGTATGTGTGTTTGAAAACCGTATGAATCTCTTCTTTTTCCTATCTAGACTTTGCTGTATGTTTTTCGGCCAATGGCCACTTGGGAATTTTTTTTTCTGAGCTCAATTCCGATTCATACTGTGTTTGTATATGTGTGTGTTTGTGTTTTGGCATGAATCGAAAAATAGTAGAAAAAAAAAATTTCACATTCAATGATCAGAAATACGGTTTTTTTTTCTTTATCAAGTTTCCACATACTCAAAAATACTTTTATCACTACATATAAAATGAAAGCATCGACCATAATATAAACAATGAGAAGCACAAAGTAAACATCGATTGGATCCGTGTCTATACTAGTGTTTGTAATCATTATCATAGTGAATGAAATGAATTGAATCGAATGTGTGAGATGAGATGAGATGAGATGAACAAATTGTCACCCATATATATATATAGTTATGAGTTTTTCACTTTGTATTCTTCTTTTTTCTCTCTCTCTCTTTCTTTCATTTTATTTTACACCACACACACACAAATTCGTTGACAATTGTCCCTTGGTGACAATAATAATAATTTTTTCTTTTTCGTTTTGTTTCATTCATAAATTAAAAGAAATATATATATATAATTGTGCCCAAGTAAAATCAAAATAATAATGATAATAATGAAATGGAAAATTAAACATTGTGATAATAATAATAATATCGATATATTGAATGTGATTGCTGCCTCATACAATAAACTAATGCCAATTTCTTTATATATATTTTTTTCACTTTATTCAAGTAATTTCTATCTAGTATCTCTCATCTTTTCATTTTAATTTCTTTCGTTATACCATAAAATTGGCCATTTATTCCATCACTTTAGATATTTTCATTAAAAAAAAATAAACTTTCGTAACCAACTTTATTATAATAATAATTAATTGTGAAAATTGAAAAGATCTTTTATCGAAAACTTTTTCAGTAAAAAAACAAAGAAAAAAAAATTTTTCATTCAATAGCTTGTCAATCTTTTTCCGTTTTCTTTGTTTCTCTATTCTTCTTATTCTTTTGCATGGTTGGTCATCACTATGAAATTGTGGAAAGAATTTATTAACTTGTTCAAAGTGTCTGTCGTTGTTGTTTTTATTGTTGTTGATGTTGCGAATCAAAATATTTTTTGTTTTTGTTTTTTGTTTTTATTTTCATTGAAAAAAATTCTGGAATCTTTGGAATTTGAGTTTTTGTTTTGTTTTATTTGGTTTGCCATCTGGCATGCGTATTGAGATTTTTTTTGCTTTGGTTTGGTTTTGTTTCCTTTTTTCGCTGGATCGATGATCTAAATAAAATTATCGTTGGATCAACAAAAAAAGAAATATCTTCACTTTCGATCGTATTTTCTTTCATTTGGATTTTCACTTCATCATCACCATCATCATCATCATCAAGCGTCCATGACATAGTAAATTGAATTCAAAATCATTGTACCGAATGATTTTATTCTATTGAAATGGCCGGTGATATAGTAAAAGAAATTTTTTCTCTTGAATTCAAATCAAATGATGACAGCATAATGAAAACAATAGCCCACTTGGCTACAGAATCAAATTGAATTTATATAAATACAATGACAACGATTCATTTGAATTGAAATTTATTTGTGGTTCAATCTTTAATTAGTTTGTGTTTGAGTATATGTTTTAAACGTGGAATATTATCAGTTTGATTCTATAGATGATACTACTAGAGGCAAAACTTGGATTCATTTATGTGAACAAAACCATAGGACGTCTTAATTCAAAGTTTTTTTTTGGATTCCAGTTAGAAATGGAATATTTTATCCTGAAAGTTTTTCTTTCTTTCTTATTCGTTCATTATTGAAATCTATCCACATGATTATGATGTTGTTGTTTGTTTGTTTTTTTTGATTATTATGTTCATATCAATCATTTTCATTTTATTTCATATCATTCATTTTTTTTCTTACACATATTTTTTTTCATTTTGGTTTGCCGCTACATTCCGGTTTAGCCATAAAGAGAAAGAAAGAAAAATTCATCATCATTCAAACGACAATGCCACACACACACACACACATTTCAATCATCACCATCATCATGTGATTAAATCCCAAAAGTGGTACTTATTGGGCTTCCACTTGATTCCACACGCACACATATTTATTTTATTCTGAGTTTCTTATGATACTTTGAATCCATCATAGTATAGTTGTGTTTCTTTATTGCATTGAGCCATACATTATATAATTGATGATAAGAGATCAGGAAGGCCGTTGTTTTTCATTTGAGTTTTGCTTGAATTTACCAATAAGTAGTTCTTATTTTCATCATATTTTTCTATTTGTTATCGGTATTGTCGTTATTGGTTGATCCGCATAAAAAAAATAGTATTTCTTGGATTGTCTACAGTATTTGTGTGCGTTGAGAATCATAGAATATATTTGGGTATTATATTATATAATCGATTTTGAGTTCCATATTTTTTTCATCATCATCATCATTCCATATTGTTTTGTACGGTACAATGGATTGCAATGCTTTTGATTAACGTTTTTGAAAGTTTTTTTCTTTTCTGTAGCAACAAAACCACCACCCCTTAAGAATACTATCCCATCATCTGTAAAATGACTTCACGATTTTTTTTCAGCAATCCAACATACCGACTAACCAAAACAACCAATAATCCAGAAAAAATGTTCAGGAAAAGAACAAAAAAAAAGTTTATCAATTTTCCATTAGTTTAGTTTATTTTTATTTTTTTTTTTTTTTGGTCACAATTTAAGAAGTTTCTAACTCATATTAATTCAATAGTACAGATTATTATGGAATTGAAAATAAAAGTAAAAAAAAAATCCATCAACTAGCCACACAATTACAAATTATATTGAAAAACATTAGTTTTCAATAAACAACAACAACAACACTAATAATAACAGGATGATTAAAAACATCAAGTTATTCACATCTCTTGTATATTTTTGCAAACACACACACACACATTCACTTATAATATGTGTTCAAACAAAAACAGCACATGATTTTTTTTTTTTTTTTGGTTATTATATCGACCATATTCTTTTGACAAGACAAATTTCGTTGATTGTTTGGCTGGCTAGTTCTTTTCCTTCAATTCTATTTATTTTTTTTTTGTTATATCCGGAATCGATATAAACATTAAAGACGGATGGATATTAATCCATCTAAATATTTTTTATTTGCCGTAGATTCATGTTATTTTCAATAATTTATATAATAGATAGATAACATTGTGATGGGATCTTTGTTTGATAAATGTGTGATGTATTGTGATGTTGTATTCGATTTATTTTTTATACCCATGGCCATATGATGATGATCATCATCATCATTTTGTTATCATGACAAGTTAATTGATGCTTAACCACTATTATAGCCACATCGTTTTTTCGTTCTGCCATATGCCATTCATTTATTCTTTTGTATGTTTGTGTGTGACAAGTGGATCTTCGATTTTAGCCAAAAGAGTATAATATTTGATAATAAAAAAAAGAGAGAGAGAGAAAGTGAAGGAAGAAAAACGGATCTAGCTATGATATTTCAATTTTTTTTTTCATCCAAATGAAAAATGTCTACCATATTTGGTTCGGATAGTAATCATTATCATAATTATCTTCGATGACATTATTGTCCTGGAATAAATGACGTGTGGAATAGAGCAAGAGATAGAGAGGGAAGAGAAAAAAACCGATCCCGGAGATTGTCATCAATTGTATTTTTCTTTCAAATATAATTTTCTTTTCGACTTGTCTTTTGTGTCTATTCAATTTGTGTTGTATTTGTGGAAATTTGTTTCAATTCAAGCTAATTGAATAAATGTTGGCCATCAAATTCACATTCACACACATACACACATTGTTTTGGTATATTAGTGGTGGCCCAAGCTGGAGCAAGCAACCCTAAACTTTAATTGACTTTGATCGGTCATATGTGGCCGCTGACTTTTTTGCAGCCATATTTCATAGTTGGAATATATATCATATTTGATTGATTGGTTAAGGTTTATTTCATTTTTTGTTTGGAAACTCGGTCCTTTATTTTTTCTTTTTCTCGAAAAACTCATGTTTGGTTTGTGGAAAATATTTTGACATTTGACAGGCTAAATTTATTTTTATTTTTTTATTTCATTTTTTTTCATTACTTCATTGTGAAAATGAATTTCGTTCATAATCGACTATTTCCCCAACCCCAGTGGTAAATAGTGAGAAAATTAAATTAACATCATATACCCAATATGGAGTTTGTATATTGAATTATAATCGATTATCCCCATTATTATTATTATTATTCTAATGGTGATTATGATGGATTCTCAAAGTTTTTTTTCCAATTTCCATTCTTTAGATATTAATTCTTTTTTTTTTCTATTTGTTTATTTGTATATAGTACCACCGGAAAAGCCTCAAATTATCGATTCAAATGGTGAATCATTGCCTTCATTAATTGGTCCATATACCGAAGGTGATCATCTAACATTAATTTGTGAAGTTGAAGGTGGAAAACCAACACCATCATTAACATGGTGGCGTGAATCCGTATTGTTGGATGATACATATGAACAAGTTACGACACCCAATAGCAATACATTGGTACGAAATCAATTGATAATACAATCATTACGGCGACAAGATTTAATGGCCGTATTCACATGTCAAGCATCGAATAATAATATATCATTACCATCCACTGCCACAGTAACTGTTGATCTAAATTGTAAGTTATCTTTTTTTTCATTTGATTGTTTTTCTCTTCTTTTTGATTCGAAAGAAAATTTTTTATTTTCAAATTTCATCCATTCAAGATTTAAACGATTTGTAATTTGAAAGATATGTCTATATTAATAACATAATATTAGATTGTATCATCAACATGGACATCATGATCATGATCATAATGTCTTGAATGAATTAAATCAAATCATATTCATGACATGACATGATTTGACTTTTATTATAATAATAATTGTGATGATGATAATAAAAAAAAGAACTGTTTACCGCCCACACTTGTAATAATATATTTTGTTTTAATAGAAATAAAATTGAATAGAGAAATCAAATACACACCTACGCACATTTATTTTAGCTTTCAATCTCACCAAAGTTTTTTAGATGAATTCAAGTTTTTTTTTGTATTTGGTATATTTATATTGCACCAAACAAGTATTAAAAGCAAAAAAAATTCATCAATTTTTTAGATTAAATTTTACCTATTACTTTTCATTCCATTATCTTTTAAATCATTATTGTGAAAAAGACCCACTGTCACATCATCATCAGGTAAATAATGATTTTTTGATGAATGAAAATTGAATTCAGACCTATAAAAAAAACCCGTCTCGTTTACATTCAATTTGATTAACTTTATGGAGTTTTTTTCTTGGACTCCGGTTTTAAGCCGTATACCAAATTTGGGTAAATTTAATACTACTACTACTACTACTAGTACACGCATACCTATGATGACTGAGAAAAAAGATTTGTCAATATATACAGATAGAAACTTCAGTGATGAAAAGAAAAAAAAGATGTTTCATCACTTTGAACAAGTAGATAGATAGATTCTTTCCATCACTAATGTAATTTATTCGGTTATTAATGCAAGGAAATTCATAATTAATTTATTTTGTTATTTCAACTATAATCTTGTAGCTATTATCATTATATTTGGTTAGTCGAGACTAGACGTAAATACACATTATGATAAAACAAACACAGCAATGTCTAAATGGTTAATCATTGAAAGAGATATTTTTTCCTAAAAACATTATATAAGTTACGAATTTAATGTTGTTGTTGTTGTTGTTGTTGACAATAAAATTTAGGTAGTAAGCTTATGATGTTAAACAATCTAGTTAAATTCTGTATATCATGTTTTGCTATATTTGTTAATCTTAATCAATGTCTGGATCAAATTAAAATAGAGTGGCATTTTATTACACCATATAGCCCTCATCGTGGCGGAATTTGGGAGTCATTGATCAAGACCACAAAGAGAGCTATGAAGTCAATTGTTTGGAAAAAAGATCTAAATTCTGAAAATTTTCGTACGATTCTTTACGAAATTACCGCTATCGTCAACTCTCGACCAATTGCAGACATGAATGGTTCAATATTGACCCCAAATAAACTGATCTATGGTACCGAAATCCGTAAACCACCACAACCACCATTCAAATCAGATGTGAAAATGGATCTATTGACGGAATGGAGAAGCAAACAAAGAAATGTAAATGCGGCATGGAAAGTCTGGAAAGACTTGTGTCTGAAACAATTACGACATTTCCAACGTAACAAATCAAAATATGAATATCTCAACATCGGTGACCGTGTATTGATAAAAGATCATTATCAAAACCGTGAAAAATGGCCGATTGGCGAAATAATCGAAACCTTTTTCTCAAAACGAAACCAACAGAAAAAAACGACAAGAGTATAGAATTTCGCTATTAACCAAATTGAAACGATTTTTTGTGTATATTATCAAAAATATAACATCTAATAATGATGGACATAGATGATGATCATTATTATGATAGGGCGTATAATCACACACACACACATATATATACAATAACACAGTGATTCAATCTGTATCATCATCGTTAAGGAAAAAAAATTGTTTCATGTTTCATCATTATTGAATAATATGTGACCAATTTCGATACAAGTCAATAGCAATGTGATGATATGATATATCGATATAAAGTGAATGGAAAAAGAATAATTTTTTCCATAGTTATTCGTTGAGAGAGAGAGAGAAAGAAAAAAGATCAAATTAAATGTATTATGGTGATATGTATACACACACACACACACACAAAACAATGTGGCAATGTGAAACAAATATAACGAAAATTTGATCTAAAGCCATGTGATGATGATAATGATGATTATATGGTGATTGAAAATAATTATTTTCAATGTTCTTGGCTTTGTTGTTGTTGTTGATTATTGGCTATCGAATAAATTGTATTCGAATTTTTTTCTTTTCTTTTCTTCACATTCGAATAATAATCATCATCATCATCATGTTCATGTTGCTGATTATGGTGATTATGCTGATATTCACACTGTAGACACATGTATTCAGTCATTTTTTGATATTTTTGATATAATAACATAAAAATACAAATAATCGGCCGGAATTTGTCTTAAGCGACGAAAATGAAGATAATCTAGAATTTTTTTGTCATTTTTTTTCGTTTCTAGTGAATCTGATAATGGTAAAGAGATCAGTGTTCAGTACAATCATCATCATTATTATTATTATCGGTCATAGTTTCATCTAATAATATTCTCTATATTTCTCTCTGTGTATTTGTGCGTGCATTCAGTTCCACTATAAGGAATATTCCAAGAATCGACCATTTGAAAAAGGCAATACATGTTTTTTATTATGAAGAAGAAGCAAAAAAAAAATTCTTATTACATAACTTTGTGTTAGTGTGTGTGTGTGTGTGTGTGTGTAGCCAAGTGATGAAAATTTCTCATCATTTCTCATAATGGCAAGTCATATCATGAGAAAATTATTAATATGAAACAAAATTTTTCTTTTTTCGAAATACGAATGCGAGTGCAACAAAAAAGATGGCAGATAGGGTAATGAGAGAAGCAACAAAAAAAACTACTAAATAAAATGAATCAAAATTTAAGGAAATGACAACGACAACAAAGATGAAGAATGAGAGAAAAATTTTACTTATCTGGATTTTACCCGAAATTTATAGAATATTCGTCTTCTTTATTTTTCAATCAACCATTTAAATTTTTTTTTCTTCTTTCGTCTTTTCACTTTCTCGTCATCATATTCATCATCATCTTTGAATTGCTTGAATGGATATGCATACAACACACACCATACCAATATTCTCTTTTTTTTATCCATTATAAATAGATGGAATTGATGCTTTGCAATATATTTTTTCAAACATAGTGGTTATACACAAACACCACAAGGGAATTATATCAAGAATTTGATGGTGACATACACAAACAACATACGCGGTAAAATGATTTTTCATCCGAAAATGTTGGAAAGAAAAATATGGAAAATAATCTGAACTTTATTCTTTGGAATCTTATATTTATTGTTTTCATCAATGATGATTGTCTTTGTTTTTTTATTCATTTTTTCAAATTTTGAAAATATTGGAAAATAGAATGGAAAAACAAATGAAATGGAAGGATCAAATGTTGATTCAAATTAGATTTGTCGTGGTCGAACACATAAGAATTGTAGAATTCCGCGAAAATCAGCAAGCCATTAATGGCCATTTTTTTGTTTCATGTGGAGATCAAAATTCAAGCAGAATTTTTTTTTTTTCTCTCTCTCGATTATTTTGATGTTGACATATTTTTTTTATTTCACAATTCCAGAATTGAAATTCAAAGAAATCGAAAATGGCATTCTTATTTTCTTGCACACTAAATTTTTTTTTTGATCAATATCAGATAAAATTTACAAGGAAATTGCAAAGATGTAAAAGCAAAAAGAAAAATAAAAATAAAATTCAAAATCTAATCGGCAACTGAAAATTTCGTTTTCATTGACGTTTTTTTTCTTTCTTTTTTCCCTGATATAACAAAATGATGAAAATTGAGACTTCGAAATAATAATTCGATTTATTTTATCATCATTTTGTTGTTATTTGTTTTTTTTCGGGCTATATGATCTGCAGAAAAAAATTCCCCTGATCAAAATTCGTATAGTTAAACATAACAAAACAAAGGAAAAGATTGCATCTGTCGTCGTTGTCGTTTTTTTGTTTTGTTTTGTTTTGTTTCTCATCGCAAATGGAGAAGAGGAAAAAAAAGGATTAAGTCTGTATTATCAAAATGTGTTGCTTGTGTGTGTGTGTGTGTGTGTGTGTGCTAGTTTTAAATTCAATTCCCCATATTTTAGATTCACTTTGGAAATTTTTTTTTTCATTTTTTCCAGAATAATGCCGGTCCCCTTTTTTTGAATAATGATAATGATGATGATGACGTTTGTTTTTTTTTCAAGTTTGTGTCATTATCATCATTATTGTTTGCTTCTTTGCTTTCACTATAGTTTCAATCATGTTTCATCATCATTGTTCATTAAGATTCGATTCACCAAAAAAAAAAAAATTTAAATTCTAAAAGTTTTTCCCTTTCTCTTTCCTGTATATATATCAATACATAAGACAGAACTCAAGAAAAAAAAGTGTTGTTGAAAAAATTTCAAAAGAATTGTTACCAGAATGAAAAAAAAACGTTTGCCCACTTGCTTCAAATGTTTTCTTTGGATTCTATCAGACAAACACACACATACACATACACAGTTTTCTGAAGAAGTAATGAAAAAAATTAAATTTTCTCATCATTCAATTCGATTCTTATTTCAATCATTATTATATTGTTGTTTTCTTTTTTTCTTGTTACTTTTTTGTTGTTGTTGTTGGTGGTGGTGGTGGTTAGATCGAAGAATCGTTTTCCGTCGTAAAGTTGGTTTTCTTTTTTTTTGCCAAAGAATTGAAAAATTTTTTTTTTTTTTACTCAAACAACCATGATCACAAATGCTCAAATATACAAACACCAAATATAACAAGAGATAGCTGACTAGTTGATTTTTTTTTCGCTGTTGTCTTCATTTCTTCAATTCAATTCTCATTCGTTCAACAAAGAAAGAAAACTCGAATAACACAGTGAAAAACTGGAACTCTTTCAATAGTATCATCATCATCATCATAAAATGAAAAAGAGAGAAAAAAATTCCAGATATTTTACAATTGAATTGTCTTGTCAAATGTTGAAATAGTAGTGAATGAAAATTGAAAATAAAATTTACGAAATTGGTTCGATTTTTTTTCTACTGTTGTTGTTGTTGGCCAACTATTCATTCCTATTCTTATATTCCATTGAATTTCATGCTTACATATACGTTTTTGCTCGATTTTTCTCTCTCTCTCTCGATTTTTTCTATTCGTTGTTATTATTCAAGTTGATGATTTTTCATTTTTTTTTCTTTCATTCTTCAATCATAAATTTTTTTTTCTTGAATAGTCTGAATCTTGAAAAATACAATGATTGAATGAATAAATAACGAATCACTAAACGATCATTTTGTATGTGTGTGTGTGTGTGTGTGTGTGTGTGTGTTGTGAATACATTTTTTTACGCTTAGTAAAAATCGATGTATGTCATTTACGTAGTTTCATTTTGTTTCTTGGTTTGGTTTTTGGTTGTTTCAAAAGTAAAAAAAAAAATCTTATAATGTGTGTATGTAGAGCAGAACCAAAAAGGTCCCTGAAGAGAAAACTATATATCGAACTTGAGATATTGAGAATTGTAAAATATAAAAAGAAATAAAATGACAACATTTATGATTCTTGAGCCTGCCATTAGATAGATAGATAGATAGATGGTTAGATAGAGAACATATGAAGAAAAAAAAATAGTCGATTTTTTCTTTCTAGTTTAACGTTTGTTGTGATTCCGTTACTGATGATGGTGTGTTTTCTAAAAATAAAACAACCGACAACAACAAAAACGAATAAATCATCATCATCATCATCATCATTATCGTAATCGAAACGTTCGTTTTTTTTTGTAAAAGAAGAAAAATAAAAATAAAAAATGAAATAAATAGATAGAATTGAATTGGTATAGTCAACAATGATGATGATGATGATGGTGAATAGTGATGATCATCATGATCATAATCATTGAGAATGGTCCTCCTTTTTTCTAGCTTTGTTTATTTGTCTCTCTCTCTCTCTCTCTCTCATTTTCTCTCTGCCTGTCCAAATAAAACGATTACGATCTCCGGTTTTTTTCGTCAATTCTTGAATTGTTGTTGTTTAAATTTTTTTTCATTTTTTGTTCAAGAATCAATGTTGAATGTTGATGTTCATAAATGTCATATATGAGAATTACGTTTTTTTTTCGTTCCACGTATGAAGAATATTCTTTTTGTATTTGACAAAAAAAAATTTAAATATAAGTTTATGGAAATTTTTAATGTTTTTTTTGTTTGTTTTCAAACAAACAAAAAAAATCCCAAATATTTTGATTTTGGAAAATTCTTCTTTTTTTTTGCTTGCAATGGATGAACATAAACCAAGTTTTTTTATGGGTTGATGTTTTCGTTGTTGTTGTTGTTGTTGTAAGCATAAATGTTTAATGGTTTTCTACCCACAAAAAAAACAACAAAGATTTTTCTTTTGTGGCTTTTATTCTTCTTTTTTTTTGATCACACACATACAACTCAATAGGAATAAAACGGCAGCAGTAAAAAATGATTTTGTCTCTTGCGGACAATGTGCCATTAATTCGATAGCAGGATAGTATAGCATTTATTCCATTAATCGAATTCGATCGAATTTTTTCTGCTTTTTTCATTTTCGTAAATCATCATCAAGAATAAGATTGAAAGTAAATGTGTGGATGTGTGTGTGTGTGTGTGTGTGAATGGAGAATAATCGAATCGTAACTATTGCGTTTGCTTTGTTATTTATTATTATCGCTATATATACGACAATTATTCGATCAGCAATTTGTTTGATTACATCATTTTCATTGGAAAGAGGGGTGTCATTTGTTAAAAGTGACAAAAAAAATTGATTGATTTAGCCATTAATTCTTTGCATTCAAGAAGTTTCATCATCGTCATGGAATAATTCTCTTAAAGAAGAATTGCTTTTCTTTTTTTTCGTTCATCACAAAAATGGCCAATTCGTGATGTAGAATAATTTTTTTTTGCTTGGCCGCATAAAATTCTCATTGTTATTGTTTTTTTTTGGTTTTGGTTCATGATGAATCGTTCGATTTTTGATCGTTTGAATCATTCATTTTAACATCAGGCGACGAATTCATCGATTATCTAAATGAGTTTTTTTTTGCTGGGACTTTTCGAATTTTTTTTTATTCGTGTGAATATTCTTTCTCATCATAATCATTATATATTTTTTCTTCGCTTTGAGAATTCTTTTCGATATGTTTCGAAAAATATTCTCAGCTTTTTTGTTTTGTTTTGACTGTATTTTCTTTAAATTTTTTGGTTTAGAATCATTAAATCAACTTTTTTTTATTATTGTTTTTTTTCATGTCTACAGTTCGTCCATTAGTGGTAAAAATTCTTGGTGAACGAAAACAATCATTATCAGCAGAAAAAGTTTCCATAATTACATGTGAATCAAGTGGATCAAGGCCACCGGCAACAATTACATGGTGGCTTGCTGGTACAACTCGTTTACGAAATGCTCAAGAACAAATATCAGCTGATGGAAATAAAACCACTAGCCGTTTATCATTGACCGTTACGGTTGATGATATTGGTAAAGAAATTACCTGTCGTGCAGAGAATCCACATGTACAATCATCGGCAATTGAAGATACTATACAATTGGAAATTAATTGTAAGTATATATAAAAATGACCAATTATAGCCATTCTATTTCATTCCCAAAATAAGCTTTTGACATACATTTCAAAGGTTATTAACATATAATACACACACATAATACCAAAATGTTTCAGGTGTATGGGTAATGATGATGATGGAGAAAAAAACTCATAGACAAAACAGGTTATCATCTGTGTGTGTGTGTAGGAATAAAATGTAACATTGAAATGTCATTTAGATGAAAATAATGTCGACATAATGTCATTGCTATCAATGTTTTTACTTTCTTCATCAATAATAATAGTTGATGATGGCATTTGAGCCTTCAGGGCGGACCAAAAAACTTTCTTTGAATCTTTTGATTTTGGAAAAATGTGTTCTTATATAACATTCTAACAATGATGGTAATGAACATTGACAGTTGAAAGTCGTATATAATTCTTTTTTTCCTTGTCTTTTTAGCGGTATTATAGATGTTATATGGTTTCATACTATTACATGGTAATGACATAAAAAAAACAACAACTAACAGAAAATTACCGTTGTACAAAAAAAAATAAAATAAAACAGAATCCAAATCCCACGGAACATACACAAAACATATGAGTAAAAGCAAAATTGACGCCAATTGCAGCAATGTTTCCAACATTACACATTTATTCTATACAGACAGAGACTAACAGGCTAATAGAATTTTTTTTTTTTTTTTTTTGCTTTCTTTGTTTTCAATTCTTTCTTTCTCGATTCAATTCATTCATTCATTCTTTTATTCGCAATGTTCACTCTCATTATGTTTGATGATGTTCATTCTTGTTACTTACACACACACACACACACACACACAACACACGTTTAAATGAACATTTTTACTCACTCATCTACTCACTCTTTTTTGGCCAGATTTAACAGAATTTTCTGTATATGATAATAGTAGATATTACATAGAAGGTGCAAGATTCACTAGAAACGATTCTCATTTATGGGTTCCTACACATTTCACTTGATTATGTTCAGTGTTTTTATTTTTTCTTTCTATCTAAGTCACATAAGGAAACACGAAGAAAAAACAAAAATTGCTTTGATTATGATGATGATGGTTATCTGTAATCGGTAACCAACTATTTATGTGACTAATCAAACCAACTAAAAAAGAACAAGTTACGAGTAAAACTTTTGATGATGATGATAATGATTACATCACCATAATTGTCAATTTATTATGTGTAATTTTTCCATGACTAGCGTTGCCATCTAGTGGAAGAATATTGTTTTTCAAAAAATTAAAAATTTTTTAATTTTGTAGATTAATCTAGAATCTAGATTCTAGAAAATTGAACTTTTTTTTAATTACAAAAATATAATGATATTGAAAATTATAATAATGATGATGGTAATCACGCACTATAATGTTGGTGTGTGTGTTTTGTTCATGTTTTTTAATGATTGTTGGCCAGAATTCTGTATTCTCGTTTTTTCTTCACGTTGTATCACTAGGTCCATTTTATGAATTATTGAAAATTGTTTTCTCTTCGTTTTTCTTATTTAATTCTTCATTCTTCTAATTTCTAAATCATCTACTTAATATTTTTTATTAAATTTTTCCTTTTTATGGTTTCATAAATCATTTGTTATGGTATGATGATGTGAGGCTAGAAATTTCTTTGTTTTTCCCCATCAGTATCTTGTTCGTAATCTTGGCAGAAAAAAAATTTTGTAATTTTCATCGGAATGTTCATCCTTAGAGAATTGTTCTATTCCAGTCGATAAGATGTTTTTCATGATGAGCTCATTATGAAATTATAATGATAATTAATATCTCGTTCTAAATGATGATAATTTTCTCTCATCAAAAAATATTCTTTTGAAATAAAAAAAAACTAATCTAGATCTCAATCATTGGACATTCATTTTCAAGTTGATGAATATTTTTGCTTTTTATTTGTCCAAACCCAAATGGCTAACTAATTACATAATCAATTTCGGTTATGAATGACTATGAAAAACTATTCAATTAACCATTTTTTTTACTTTCTTTCACTGTTTCAGTCTTCAGAAAGAAAAATGTTGAATTTTGTTGCTTTGTCTGTGTATTTTAGGATTTTTTGCTGAAAACTTATACGAATATGAATCCATTTACATTTCAAATTCTGTCGTTGTTATCACAACAACAGCAACAACAACAACAAAATACTGGTAACTAAAAATAGAATAGAAAATCAAATGTAGAAATAATTTGCCTTTTTTCTTTTTTTTCGTTTCATTTTCAGTTCAATTGTTGTTTATTCGTTTAGTTTTTGTTTCATGAATGACAGATATGTTTTTTTATTTGTTATCAGTGAAGAAAACGAAACAAAAACAAAACAAAAAGAAAATCTGCATGAATCAAAATCGAATGTCAGGTGAATGTTGAATGATTTTTTTTTTTTTCTGTTTCAGTTTTTCATATTGCTTCTCTATTTAAGTTACGGTAGTGCTCCCATTTGGAAATGAAACAAACAAAACAAATGCAAATGACAACAACAATGTTGACAGCTATGACGACATTTCATAGCTCATTGAATAAACATTAGCCATCAGTTGATGATGATGATGATGATGATTATTCCAAGAAAAGGCATTCAATATCAAACATATGGCATGAATACAATTTTCAATTGTATATATGATGAATGAATGATAAATTCACTTTGGTTTCAATTCAAGTTTATATGGAAAATTCTCCTACTCTATTTTTTTTGTCTTGATGTTCTTATCGCTTTTGTTTGGATTCGTTGTTTGTTTTTAGACAAAACCGATTTCATTTTTTTTTACTTTTGTTTTACCCTATTCTACGATTTTTGTGTTGGAATGGTCCATGTTTTTTTTTCGTCAGTTGTTTCAATGTCATTACTAGCAATTTGATAAGATTTTTTGGTTGTTTAAAGTGGAAGAAAAAAAAATTTTCTTCAGAAAATAAATCAATGAAAATGGATCGAATAACGATAATCATCATAATAAATAATAATTGTCAATCACAATCAAGTTGTTTAGCATTGATAATGATAAACATATAATATAGAGATATATTAATTCCACCATTTTATTATTAACTATGGACAATATTGATTTTGACTTTGGGCTATTATTTATTGATTTGGACATTGACGGAAACCAAGTGTATTTGCACACACACAATTCAATACAATGGAAGAAAAATTAAATGATCCGTAATAGATTCGTATAGGGTGCCAAGTATTTTTTTTTCAATGATAATTTATCAAAGAATATTTTTTTTGTATTTGTTTTGCCATAAATTCTTTTTATCTATAAATTTAAAACAAATTTTCTTTATTTTCATCTTTTATTCTTATGAATATATATATGGATTGTCGATAAATTCCATAAAATTCGAGTAAATGTTCCATGAATCTTTTTTTTCTAGTTTAGTTTAATGGAAAACTAATCTTAACTAATTACTTATTCTTTTAGCCATTGTGTAGTCATACATAATGAACCATACATATTGGATCAATGAACCATTACTAAGAGAAAAAAACGATTTTTTTTCTATTTTCTGGATTCTTCAAATGAAACTGAATTTTCACTGCTACCATACTTTTTCTACCAACTTTAAGTTAACTATACAGTTTTTTTCTATCAAACATAGAGTGAAAAAAAAGAAATATGAACTCTTTAGTTTCTCGTTTAGTTCCATAAATATTTTTGTTTCCCGCCAATATTCATTATGATAGCGTCAAAAAAAAAAAAAAATAAATATAAGAATAACCTGTATGTAAAAGGAACAATAGCCTTTACAGCGTTTTTTTTAGTTGAAAAGATTTTCCTTTCTTTTCAATTCTTTTTTTCTACTTGATTTAACTAGCCTAGTAATTCTGGCAGCATTAGTAGTAGTTGCTATTACTTTTTCATAGACAGCTTGACGCCTTCATGGTCGATTGATTTGATTCTGATGAAAGCAAAAAAAAAAAGAACAAAAAATTTTTTGATCTACACAATATATATTCACCCGACTATTGTATTGTGCATTTTTCCCTTATTCTTTAAAAAAAAATATTAAGTAAGATCCATACGGATTCTAATCAATTCTTATTTTTGTTTGATTTTAATTCTCATTTATTTATCTACCTAAAAAAACAGATGCACCACAAGTGACATTAAAATTGGGCAGTAATCTAAGACATTCACATATACAGGAAGGAAATGATGTCTATTTTGAATGTGTTATTCGTGCATCACCATGGTCATATGAGGTACGATGGCATTTTGAAGGTCGTGAACTACAAACAAACACAAGTGCCGGTATAATTGTTAGCAATCAATCATTAGTATTGCAAAAAGTACGACGTCAACAACGTGGTAAATATACATGTTCAGCAACTAATTCTGAAGGTGATGGTGAAAGTAATGCCGTACATCTTCGTATACAATTTGCACCAATCTGTAAAGCTGGTAAGTTTATTTGTGCATGTTTGTGTGTATTTTTTTCTGTTAACAAAAAATTCTATTAACAATGATGAACATAAACAGGAAAAAGGAAAAGAATGAAATCTGATAGACAAGCAAGCTTAAAATTTTTGTTAAACAATTCAGAATTGTGAAACTTTTTTTCCACTTTCATTACGATAATCATAGTCGTCGTCGTCGTCATATTTTCTTCATATAGTCAATTTTCTCTTATTATTTTTTTCTCATTCTTATTCTCACAATTTTTTTCATCATCATCATATAATTTATGAGCCAAGATTAAAAGTTCACTAAATGTGAAAAATGTATGATGAGCAAATATGGATGAATATGGGTGATTTCGATTTTTTCGCTTGCAATCTTGGTGTAGTGTTCAAGTGTAGAATCCAACAAGAAAACAAAAATGTATGATCAAATCATTAAAAAGGAAGTAATATTCATTTCTTTATATTTTTTGTTTCTTTTTTTCCACTGATATTGATAAGATAAAGCATTTTTTTTCACACACATCATTCTAATGTTAGATTTGTTGTATGGATTTCTATTCAACAAAAAAAAACCAAACAAAAAAATTGAATGATGACGTCAATGATGAAAATTTCTTTTGAAAGAAAAATTAATGAAAAAAATGTAAGCCAAATTAATGAATTTGAACGGGAATAATAACAAATAGGATATAAACACACAATTTTGAAACAAGGTAAATATCGGGCTATAATAATAACAGATAGTTTCATGGAATACACTAACACCATCACTATTATAATGAAAAAGTAGAATTTCGATTTACTATCCATTCATTCATTTATTTTATGGAATTTTTCTCCTTTTTTCTCTCTCTCTCTCTCACTCTCACTCTCATGATTATTAATGATTCTTTGTCCATTCTGTTCTTTAGCTATTTTGTCGTTTGTGTTGTGTGTGTGTGTGTATGTTTGATGATGATCATATCATATACATAGACATATTACCGTCTATTGAAATGAAAAAAGAAAATATAAAGGCTCGATATTCAATTTCAATTTTGTAGACATATTCTGCTATCACCGAAACAATAATAACAAAGAATATTCATTTTTCTTCGGGATCCTTATTTTTTTTATATGGACTCTCTTTGCTCTCATTGATCATCACTCTTCGAAACATTTTTTTGTTCTCATTTCCTCTATCGATCGTTCAGTGTAAACGAATTTGAGAAAAACAATATTTTTTCTAGTCATTGGTCTAGAAGTTCAAATGGAAAAGGTCATTGGTTCGTGTACTTGCGAATAATCTCTATCAAATGTTCAACAGAGAACCATGTTATTTGCTCAAAGATGATCTTGATGTTTGTTACTTTATTGTATTGGAAAAGTATTTTTGCTGAAAAAAACCGATAAATCGATCCAGATCCAATTGAAACTAAGTGCAGGAAACATTCTATTGTATGATTCAATGAGAAATAGGGATAAAAATCGATTGATTGATTTCAATGAGTTCAAGTGATATTAATTATACTCTATGGCATGGTTTGATCGATTTACTCGTCTTTGATCAATCAATTTTTCGTTATCAAAGTCGAATTATAATCGAATCGAATTGAATTGTTCATAACAATAGGCTTCAAAGATCTATAATCTAATTTAATGAAATTTTTTATTTCTCTTTTTTTTGTGTGTGTGTATAGGTCAAAAAATAATCTACGGTGCTGCTCGACATGAAACTGTCAATATAATTTGTGAATTAGAATCCGATCCATCTGAAGTGGAATTTTTTTGGTCATATAATGGAACTGGTTCTGAACCAAGACGTGAAACTGCGACATTGAAATATGAATCAAATGGGCCACAATCAAGTTTAGGACGTTATACCCCACATACTGAATTTGATTATGGTACCATTTATTGTTGGGGACGTAATTCAGTCGGTGTTCAATCTAAACCATGTGCATATTCAATAGTTGCTGCTGGATCACCGGATCCAGTAAGAAATTGTTCAGTATTCAATGTAACAGAAGATTCGATGCGTGTAGATTGTGATGAAGGTTATGATGGTGGATTAGTACAACATTTTCTATTGGAAATCTATGATACAACCGAAAGAAATTCAGCATTACGTGCCAATGTAACAGCTTCAACGCCACAATTTCATTTAAATAATCTACAGCCAGCACATACTTATCTATTTGTGATATATGCGGCCAATGCAAAAGGTCGTAGTAAAGGTATTGCATTGACGGCATTCACATTGGCCATGCCTGAATCAATGAATCGTCTTGCCAAAGGTATTTTGGATTGTCAGTTTTTTTCGTTATATATGACATGTAAAAATTTTTCAAATAAACAGGAAATGTTTGGCAGCTCAATTTTAATCCAGTACTAGTCGTATTGATTGCCGTTGTCACCGGTATCGTATTGATTGCATTTTTTATTGTTTTGATCGTTCGATGGAAAACGATGAAACCAACAAATGCAAGTGGTGCAAATTGTGCATCATCATCATCATCGAATTTAAATCATCGATATCATCATCATGGTGAGTTCAAAATTTTTCAATTTAAATTTTTTAGTTGAATTCACAAATAGAGAATGTTTTGCCTGTGTAGAATTTTTTGTCACTTGTAGTAATTCCATGTCAATTTGATTAATTCGCTTGAATATAAAGGAAAATAGACAAAAAACATGGAAATATAATTAATGTTCACACACAAATCATTTATCCAAACTGATAGAATTCTCAACAAAAAAATGGCATGGAATTTTTTTTCAGTTTTTTGTTGAAATTTCATTTCATTACTAGTGAATTTCAAGAGAAATTTTTCTCTTATTTTTGTTATATTGAACGACTTATCTGTTGTTCAACACACACACATTAAAGAAACAAAAAATGAGAATTTCAAATCAATATTTTAGTTTTTTCTTTTGACTCAAAATGGTCAATAAAATGTATTCTATGTGGCCATATCCTTCTACTCGGATAGAATGATGATGATGATGATGATCCATCATTGAAAAATATGAATTGACTGGACCTCGAAACAAAACGTTGCTGCTGCTGCTGCTGCTGCCGCTTCTGTATACATACATCAATTCGATCGAAACACAAATTCCAATTTACGGTCAATTATTTTTCTTTTTCCATTCTCTATCTTTCCATTCTCTTCTCGATTTTTTTTCTTATTATTCTTGTTTTTTTTCTTAGTTTTTCGGTTGGTTTGGCTAAAAACTCGGAGTTGTAACAGTATGTAACATCCGAATAAATATAAAACAATAAGCCGTAAGAAAGAAGATAATTCTTTCATCATCATTGTCTTCAACGCTAGAAATACGAACCAACCGAGAGATGGAAAAAACGACTGGAACAAACATCATTTATTTTCTTAGTTCTGGTTACTAGATTTTTTTTCTACTATTCGCGCTCGGTTTGATGTTTCTTTTTTTTCCTATTTCATTTGTTACGATACATTTCGGCCAATTCATCTGGTTGTTGTTTTTTTTTTTTTTGGACAACAAGCCATTAACGCCATCCAAATACATTGTCTATTTCTTTGTTTGTGTGTGTTTGTTACAATCATTTTTCTCTCAATCTACTACTATTTATTCGTCCTAAGAAATAAGAATAAATTTTCAAAAAAAAATTATCTTTTTTCATACTGATTTATTCTTATTCCATCTAAAATATGGAATCCATGTCAACAAAAAAAACAACATTACATAGAATTGTATTATACGTTGTTTTTTCCTGTTTATGCATGCTACACTACCAAGGTCATTAGGTTTACATAGAAATATGGTTATAAGAATAATAATACATAAAACTAGAATATTCTGGTCGATATTATGAATGAATGAAGAATTGTGTTTGTTGTAATGATTGTGTAACCGAATTCATAACACCATTTTTACTTATTCTTATTTGTACTTATTATTATTTGCATATTGTAATTTTTTTTCTATGATAACTGAATATGATACAATACTGAAATATTCTTTGCGAATTTATTATTCGTGGACTTGATACAACACAACAATACGTTGACCGAATTGTTCGATCAGGATTATTGTCCACTACTTATTCATTGTATACAATCCATTCATATATACGATTGTAGACATGAATATTGTTGTTGGTGTTGTTCAAGGCTTGATAGAAATGCTAAAAATTCTATATGTGTATAATAGTCATTATAATAACAATTCAAAATGTTTGCTTTCTACATAATGATAATCGTAATAATAATCAATATAGTAATTATTATTAAATATAATGTATAAAAACAATGGCGATAATATAGAAATCGAGCGAAAAAAAACAAAAACTTTTGTTCCATTTCTCTATTCATTCATTTCATTTGTGGTTTCTATGTGAACCCCCCCCCCTTCCGTTATCAGAAGAAAAACTAGCCCGACCACCACATATACATTTGTTAATGATCCTATAGGATTTAGCCTTGAATTTTTTCCATATTATCTTTTGGAATTTTTTTTTTATTAAAGCATTCTGCTCAAATTCGTTCGTTTTTTGATCTATTGATTCCATTGAGTGTTTTGATATTTTCATTTCTGAAAATGTATTAATATAAAAATGATTTATTATTTTTTTCGTTAATGAACAAGTGAAAAAAATATGACAATTTTTTGTCTATTGTAAAAATCATATTATAAATTTTGTATCAATAACAAATTACTTTTAAGAGATGCCAATCGAAAATTCACATGAATAATGGCCATATCTTTGATGATTATGATTATAAATCCAGATCACATACAGAATTTTCACATCTTTTGGATCAATTTTAGTTGTTAATGTAAAATTTTCATCCAGAATCCCCATATTCATTTGGTTACTGTGTTGATATACACAAGTGAATTATCCATTCACCATAATAATAGTTGCTGTATAACAAGCCATATGTTGTTGTTGTTGTGACCCAATAAAAGATCCATTTTGTGAATATTTGTAAAAATAGACAATTTTTCTTTTTTTTTTTATTCTTCATTTTTTGGTCTGACATGGCATTATAATTTGTATGATATTGATACGAAGAACGAATACGAAACATACAAAGCAGATAGAAACAGACAGAGGAAATTGTTCATTGTCGGTCATTTATATTATCATTCAAATTCTTATCAATATGTGTTCGTTTATAAATAAATATCGTCTGATTATATTCAAATAAATTTCGAACAAATTTGAATAATCTATGATGATGATGATGATAATGTTAGCTTTACAAACAAAAAAAAAGAGCAAATATATTCTTTCCTTTTTTTATCATATCGAGAGAAAAAAAATGAAAATAACCCATAACGGAATGCCATTGCTTGCCATATCATCAACAACAATATATTCACAAAATCGAAGAATTTTTTTTCATATACAACAGTAGATATAAAACTGAAACAACAACAAAGAAAAAAAAAGAAAAATGAGACCAGAAATGATCGTCATTTGTTATAACAGACATTCACACACACACATGGGGCACCCAATGAATCAATGAATTTGTTGGCTTTTTCTTTTCTTTTTTTGCTGCCCTTATAGATATGGCATCCAGTTTCCTGGACCAAGTTGGTCATTTATTCAATTATTTTATTTCCTATGATGATGATGATGTCTTTATGCAAAAGAAATAATTTCCAGCTGAAACAACAACGATGGACAACAGTGAACAGGAAACCAAAATATGTGGAAAAAATATTGGGAAAATAAATGTCCTCCAATGCAAATGGCAAATTGTCATCATAATCAATTTTTTTTTCGTTCGGCTAAAAAACAGTTACAGACCAGAATTTATTAGTTAGCTTCCATTATGTTTAATGGTTAACTCCTTTTTCGTTTTTTTTTTTTTGCCGTGGTTACAACTTGATTTCTTGACCGTTGACCACAAAGCCAAGCACGTCGTTTTTTTTATTCATTCAGAACAAAATTTCACTTCGATTTTGTCATTCGACTGATATGTCTTTATTGTTTATTGTTATATTGTGTCATGGGGTTATTTGTTTTCAACCCTCTGGAATCCGGGCTAAAATGGAATTGATTTATAGTTTATCAGTAGATCAGTGTTATTTGAAGGATCCAAACAAAAAGAGGGGATTTTGATTTCTGTTTTTATGTGTGGTTTTCATTCTTTAAAACATTTTTTTTTTTACAGCTGCTGTTGTCGTTGTTCAATTTATCTGTTAACATATCACATTTTGCATAATTATTCTAGTCATTGGATTTCTTTTTCTTTGTTCATTTTCACATTCTATCATGAATGAAAATAAAATGAAAATACCGATCTGAAATCATCGTGTCTTTCTCATTAGTAATTTATTTCACATTAATTTATGCCATTTAATCCTTGGAAAACAGCAAAAAAACCAATGGAGAAAAAACGTAGAGAATTTTCAAAAAAAAAAAAAACAAAAGAAAAAGAACAAAAAAATGTTACTTTGTTAATTAGTTTAATTCATTTATTATTATTGTACAGACCCAAGTTGATCATTCATTCCATTCTTTTTCTATTTTCATTGATGGTGTGTATTTTTTTTTTCCCGTTCTTGTTCTTTGGCCATTGGTTTCCGTAGCGAAAGGTTTTTTTTCTCTTTTCAATCCGGGTTGAGAATTAACAAGAATTGGTAAAAAAAACTGTGAATGGAAACCTGGAAAAAACAATCATAATGTATGAAACAAGTGAAAAAAAAACAACAAAAGAAGTACCAGACTGTGTTTTTTTTGTTTTCCATATTCGACTATTACAGGTGGAACAGGTTCGGAGTTACATTTTGGTTTCTATTCTGGTCCCGTATCTTTTTCTTCTTCTTTTGGTTTTAATTATTCTTTTCTTCTTTGAATCTTTTTTTCCTTCTTTCAGCCAGTTCAAATCGTTCGAGATTTGAATGCTAAATCAGATGTAAATTTTTTTGGATCCTTTTGTTTCGGAGAAAAAACAGAATTTCAAGCAAAGAAAAAAATGAGATGAGCAAAGAAAAAGAACAAAAAAATGTTACTTTGTTAATTAGTTTAATTCATTTATTATTATTGTACAGACCCAAGTTGATCATTCATTCCATTCTTTTTCTATTTTCATTGATGGTGTGTATTTTTTTTCTTTTTCTCATTCCCGTTCTTGTTCTTTGGCCATTGGTTTCCGTAGCGAAAGGTTTTTTTTCTCTTTTCAATCCGGGTTGAGAATTAACAAGAATTGGTAAAAAAACTGTGAATGGAAACCTGGAAAAAACAATCATAATATATGAAACAAGTGAAAAAAACAACAAAAGAAGTACCAGACTTTGTTTTTTTTTTGTTTCCATATTCGACTATTACAGGTGGAACAGGTTCGGGAGTTACATTTTGGTTTCTATTCTGGTCCCGTATCTTTTTCTTCTTCTTTTGGTTTTAATTATTCTTTTCTTCTTTGAATCTTTTTTTCCTTCTTTCAGCCAGTTCAAATCGTTCGAGATTTGAATGCTAAATCAGATGTAAATTTTTTTGGACCCTTTTGTTTCGGAGAAAAAAAGACAGAATTTCAAGCAAGAAAAAAAATGAGATGAGCTTTGACACACACACACACACAAAAATAATTCTGAATTATTTCAAAATTAAGCACAACAAAACCTCGGTTCTAAAAACAAAACAAAATCACGATATATATGAACATGTCACATTTTTATTATTGACAAATTTTTCATTGAATTTTCAAACTTTTGATTTTTGTTTGACTCGTTCAAGTGATTTTTCAACTGGTGAATATTATCACCCCTTTTTTAAATTTATCGGCCTATTTATTATCTGATTCAATTTCATTAGTTATTTGTTGTTATTCTGTTTTGTATCTGTTTACATTTGGATTTCTTGGAATCATTTTCAGGAAATATTTCCCCTTATCATCATTTATTTGTTCGGTTTTAGTCGTTGTTGTTGTCGTTATTTTAGGATTCTGTCATCATCTTCGGTGATGTTTGAAATTAGTATGTGTGTGTGTGTGTGTGTATGTTTGTGTTTATACTGAGATAAGGCTCTACTATAGTTGATTCCGGGCGTTTGTTTGAAGAAACAAGAGTTTTTTCTTGTTTTTTTTTGCTTTCTTTGTTGTTCAAAAGTAAACTGCTGCTGTTGTTGTCAATAATAAATGAAACTCTGTAGCCAGAAAAAACAAAAAGAAATAGTCAGCTATAAATTATATTAACGGACATGAACAACAATTAGATTTTTTTTTGAAGAGTAAAAACCCTTGAAAAAACAAAGAAAAAATAAAGAATCTTGGATAAGATATTGAAAGAATGGAGAAGAAAAAAGACTGATGATGTTTTCATCATCATCATCATCATCATAAAAATGAAATTTTGTTGCTGTTTTTTTTTTCTTCGATTAGATTTAAGCCATTTCAAATTTTTGTTTATTTAATTCAATGTATATAATATTGAAATTGAACACCTCATAATCATCATCATCATCAATGTTGATGAAAATAATGATGGACCTTTTGTTTCAAAAAAAATGACTTTGAGCACTTTTTATATGAAGAATTTATCTCACTACAGAATATTATGATGATGATGATACAATAAGATCTAATCTTGGCATCTTCATATCATCATCATTTTAATAGATAATGTCATTATGAAATCATAAATGAGATAGTTTTATGCATAGTCAAGTTTTTTTTTATATTCTTTTCATTCATTTATAATAGGTATATTTAATGTTTCACAAAGATATTGTTGCTTGTCCCATTGGATCGATTCCGATTATTTCTTTCTTTGTGTATGCTTTTAATAATTGTTACAATAAAATGCATGAATGCAATTTTGAATTTGTGTATATGAAATATACTCTTTCACATAGCATGTCGATTTTTTTGTATATGAATAGATAGAATTCCTATGAAATGGAACAATTATTTCAATTTAGATTCTTAAATGTTTGAATTTTTCTTAAATATTGATACAGACCAAAAATCATTACAATCATTATCGACCAATAGTAATGGTGGTAATAATGGTACATCATCAATAAATGGTTCGTCACAGACGACCAATACAACGATCAATAGTACAACATTATCATCATCCGATATGTCTTCCAGCACAACATCCAACAATAATAATAACCACAACAACAATATTTTGGGTAATAACAATGAAATTCTCGTTTAGATTATAAATCCATTTCCGTTGATGTTATATGTGGCCAGTAATGAAAAAAATGATGATTATCCGGTCTTAGCGATAGTTTCACATACAATTATCTTGATGGTTTTTTTTCTCTTCTTGTTTTTTTTGTGTGTGTGTGTGTGTTTTGTTTGTCCATTTTTATATTTGGTTTATTTGTTTTCCGTTTCCTTTTATTGGTTCCATTGATCATTTATATAATTATATGAATTTTTTTCCTTGATTATATTACAACGTAATGTTTTTTTTTTTTTTTTCATTTTTGTTGTTGTTGTTTATTTCATTTATTGAAATATAGAAATAGCCAATGAAATGACTACCAAAAATGCCTTATGTAATGAATTGGATGATATTGTACTCAATGGTGATGATGTTGAAAAATTAACTATACCATTGAATGGTCATCCGCCATCATCAACAACACCTACAGGTGCAACAATCATGCGTAGCAATATCTATTCATCTGGGCCATTATCATCATCCAATAACAATACCGGTGCCAATGGTATGGTGGCTTCAAATAAACATGTTACATGGCGTCCAGATACGCCTCCATCACCAACGCCAAATATTTATACGGTAAGTTTTGTTTTTTATTTTAATTGATCATTTCTTTAAATTTTTATCACTTTCTCTCCATAATTTCTTAATTCTTGATTTATTAATTGAAGAAAAAACTATTTCTTTTCTTTTTTTCCTATTTACAAACAATGACTTTTTAACGTCTTTTCTTTGAATATCTTGAATGGTCAATCCAATCTATCTTTATCTTCTATTTCCTATTGGTTCGAACAACAACAACAACAAAAAAAATCGTTGATTATAATGATGATGAAATGAATAGCAATATACAAATATTGGCTATATGCCAATCACTCCAATGGATTCCATTGATTCATATCAATTAATAGCCACTGGAGCATCATTACCACATAATTCAACTGGTAATACAGTTGTTCCAATGTCTTATACATTAGCTGCCGGTCTAAATGGTGGTTGTTATGAGACAACATTTATGGATCAACATCCAAATCATCATAATCAATCTGTGCCTCAACAACATTCAACAACACCATACGGTGTTATTGTTTCCGATAGTGGTGGTGGTGGTGGTGCTATCGGTGCCATCACCGGTAATATAACGACAAACATTCCAATGCCACCATCATCATCATATCTATCACAACATAATCAATTATCATCACAGAATCCATATGGAATACATACATCATCAACAATAATGACAACAGCTACAACAACAACGCCTCAACAACAATCTTGCCAAGTTTATGGTACAATACCAAGACGTGTACGTGTGATACCTAATAGTAATAATGGTGTTAATAGTATGGATATGGTTACTTCACAGCCAGGAATTGTTCCAGGTATTCCAGTATCATCATCAATAGCATCATCAAGTAGTGGTGCTAGTATAGGGACAAACCATAGCCATACACCATCATCATTACAACATCCAAATATTGTTAATGGTAGTCAATATCAATTTCATCATCCACCAACAATGACCAGCCATAGTGCAAGTCATAATACATTAACTATTAGTCCACAACAAACGCCCACATCATCAACGACAACAAATGATCCATCATCATCATCATCAATGACACAAGTATAATTATTATAATTCAAATTTTAATGATGATGATGATGATGATGATAATAATTTCACTATAATCAACGATAACTAAAACCCACGAGAAATCGACCATCATAATATTAAATGAATCCATTGCAAAAAAAAGCTCAAATTCCGTGTAATTATCATTTGACGAACAAAGAATAATTTTTCTATCAATTTCCAAAATGGATAGTAAAAATAAACTTTGTATTAATTTTTTAACCTCTTTCTGGCCAAACAAACAAAAAAATAGAATATTGTAAATAATGAATGTATCATATTGCCATCGATTTAATTCATTCATCGTTCATGAGTGGGTGTGTATTTGTGTGTGTGTGCGACAGTTCAATGAATTTTCAGTACGTGCATACACACACACACACACACCTGCATTATCATCATCATTATTTTCATTGTCATTCAGCTGTCGCCATTTTTTTAATTTTGATTTCAATTCAATTCAAATCATTTCTTGTCATTTTGTTATATAATAATTACCTTAAGCCTATTAAATTTCTTCTTTTTTTTTGGGCAGATGATATATGGTCACACCATACATAACAACGACACTGACAATGAATGAAAAAAACATTCAATTTTTATTTGATTGTTATTATTATAAATTGCTGTTTTATTATTGATTAAATATATGAATTGGAAAAAAAACAAAAACTATATTCTGAATGACAATTGCCAATTGACACACACACACACAGACACAGACACACATGGAGAGAAAATTGAATCAATAAAAAAAACAGAAAAATGTAAAAGAAAAATTATTTTTTTCTTCAAACACAAATACAATGAAATAAAATAATAATGATAAATTGATTCAATTTTCTTAATTATTATTAACAACAATTTTGTTGAAAAATCAATAATCATGATGATGATGATGATGTTGATTTTTATAAATTTCTTAATCATCATCATCCATAAATAATAATTAATGGATTGATCGATTCGGTAATTTCATATCGTTATAGAGAATTGACAAACGAGGCGCGATGGAAAAAAAGAAAAAGAAAAAACAAAAATTCCTTTCTATTCAATATACATTGAATTGTTGTTGATGGCAATTAATAATAGATCATTCAGTATTGATTGCAATATCAATGTTTATTATAAAACAATAATAAAAATAATGCAATAGAATCTAATTTTTCCTTCGAGATATTTTTTGTTTATTTGTTTGTTTTTTTTCTCATCATCTTCATCTGTTTCTGTCATAACAACAACAATATCTCTCGATAATTTCTTCATTATTTGAGTCGTAAAAATGCGGAAAAAACAACAAGAATGATTCCTAGAATCGCAAAAAAAAATTACAAATACAAAATATGTGGCAACGTTGTTTGTTTGAATTCAAAAAAAGGTCAATCCAATACAATCCATCTTTCATCATCATCACCATCGATCGATTGATAGATTTAATTTCGGTCATATTTTTCTATCATTCGACTCTTTTCTTATTTTATCTTTGTCCTGTGTTGTTATTATTATCATGTTCGATTCTTTTCATTTCCCGGGTTTCAATTCTTTCTGATTAATTTTCATTTTTTTTGTCTCGTTGGCCCAATTTTTTTCCTGTTTTCATTTTTCTTACGTTCGGCTTTGCACGATACAATTTCCGGAAGAAATTCGTTTTTTTCTTCTTATTCTCATCTATCTCATAAACCAATATAACACAATAATAATAATCTGATTGTTTTTTGTTTCTCTTATTTGTTTCAAAATATCCACTTATTCATTCTATATTTGTGTTTGTAGCCAATGTTATTGTGTACGACAATAGATGACGACGACGACGACAATATGGTCAATAATATTGATGGTGGGAATAATTGTGGACAGAAAATAATATTCAAACAACAGCAACAACAACGAGAAAAACATTCATCCAATGATGAGGACGACTACTATGATGATGAGGATGATGATGAAAAAAACCAATCAAACAACCATAAAATATGGATTCCATTGGAACAAAAATCATTTGATTTTGGGATTAGAATTTTTTGTTTTCATTTCAAACACATTTACCAAAGAAAATATCCATTGTATTCTCTTATTATATCGACTTTAATCGATTTTTTTTCTTGAATGTCAATTGTAAAAGTTTTTATTCTTGATCAAAATTAATTTTTGTATCTATTGTGACGAATTTTCATCGTTTATTTTTAAATTAAAATTATTATTTAAGAAATAAAAAAATTATTATTGAAGCTCGACGAGTACTCGTTCATATCAATTCAATGAATTAAAGGGCCAATGCATCATTCAATCAATGTTCTCTTTTTGTTTGTGTCATTATCATCCAATTTGAATGATGATCCAGGTTAAAATGAATATGAAATTCTTGTTAAAAATATTTTAAGAATAGATTATTCACATTTTTCATTCATTCTGTAACTTGTCAGTGACGCAGGTGTGTTTTTAAAACTGCATTATTCATCCACATTCCTCCAGACATACACACACACCAAACGAACCAAAAACGGAATCATTTAAAATGAATACACAAATACAGTGACAATGTAAATGATGAGGAAAAATTTTTTTCATTGCGTGACTAACGATTTCAAAAAGTTGATACGAAGAAACGAATTCTGTAAAATATATAGCAAATTTGGTTTACCTTCATTAAATCAATCTGTTTAGGTACGTGGTTTTTTTCATTGATTTCGAAAAAAAACGTATTTGAATTTTTTCCGTCTGCCAACTAATTCAAAGCCTTGAATATTCTTACATCTCATTGAACTCAAAAATTGGAAAGCAATAGTTTTTTTTTTTTTGATTGTCGTTATAATGTTTTCTTTGTTTCATGATGGGGAAATAAATTCTGTAATATTTACATTTGATTTTGTTTATTCAATTCTTATAATATATGAAGAATAAAGAAAAACTTTCGGCAGCTACGTTTGGCCCTCTTCTATTCTGTCGCTCTGTCTTTGTTGAAATATTTGCAACACAGTTGGTTAAGAATAAGAACAAGTGAAAAATATGCACAATTCAAACAAAAACAAAACAGTTATCGTTATATCATACTATAAATTCATTTTCAAATGGATAGTTTTTTTGAAGTAGGAAGTATTTTTTTTCCTGCATTCAATTTTAATCAAATCAAAATGACAATCGTTTTCAAATGGGTAAAATTGAATGGAAAAATTTCAATTTCGATAAGTATCTATTCATTCGATTTTTTTTTTTGACCATTTATTCACCCCTCGAACAACCACATTTATTTTTAGATAAGTTTTTTTTTTGCTCAAATGTCCAAGAAAAAAGAATTTTTTTTGTCGTAGTTTTTGATATTTCCAAAACAAACGAATGATTCTTATCATTCTTTATTTGTGATATCGAAAACCAACAAAAGTTAGAGTGGGAGAGAAAGAAAGAAAAAAGTATCCATTCATTTGGATTTTTCTGGTTGATTCATTTTTTTCCCCGTTACCAATATATGTTTCTTTTATGCACTGATTTTATCTTTGATTGGTGAGCGTTTTTTTCCATTAATTTTTTGTTTATTTTTTTCTTTCTGTTTTTATTTGAGAATTTTGCTTCATAGGCCAAAATCGGTTATTCCTTTTGGAACATTGAAAATCAATTCCCGATAAACAACTTGAATAGATGGCTTGAATGCTAAAATCAAATGAAACTATTCGTATATTTTTAAGGTTCATAAAAATGGATTTTATTTTATTTTTGAAAATCGCTTTCGTTTTCATTTATTTTCAATCATTTTGAACAAATTCAATGTGTTTCTGAGTGTATATGGCATCTAATTTGAATATTTTTCACGTTTTTTGGTGGGAAAAAATGTGAAGAAATCGAAAAAAAGTGAACAAAAAAAAATTCAATTCCTGAATTTTTTTTTTCCATTTCCACAATGACCGAAAGCAATTTCTTTGAATTTCCATTTTCAGATTTCACAAATGCATCATCATTAAATTGATGGTGAAACAGGAAAATCGACAGCCGGTATTTCAACCCGTCATCACTCCCACACAAACATAACAACAATCCGGAATGAAAATCTTCATTTCAAATTGATTTCCAATCGTTTTCTTCGATTTTGATTTTGATTTTATTTCTCAAGAATTTTCTCAATGATTTATCTTCTATCTTCATTCATTCATCATCATCATCATTATCGTCCGCATCAACTTTTCAATACGATCTCATTTTGTCTGCCATTTCTATTCCATATCATTTCTTAGTCATTTTCTTTCCACAAATTCTTGTAGAAAAAAAAATTTAGACTTGTATAGAGATAATGGAAAAATAATGGCCTAAAAACAGAAAAATAAAAACCGAAAATCAAGTGATAATAATAATAATTGTATTGGTTGAATTTTTCTATTCAAAAAAGGAGAAACCAGAAAATAAAGAAAAAAATTCTTTACAGTAATTGTATGTGTATGAAATTTGCTATAATTTTTTCCAACCAGCAATCATTATCATCATCATCAACAACAAATGAATGTGTGTGTGTATGTGTGTATGGTTGTCAAGAATTTCCAAACTTCAAATGTCCTTCATGTCATTACTGGCAAAGTATACAATTGTAGGAATGAATGGAACAAAAAAAAATGATAATTAACGTTCATCATCATATTCTTTGGCCGAAATATTTGGCTAGTTTCAAATTTATTTTGGCTCGGGCGTTTTTCGACCAATGGTCATCATCATTGTACTAATCAAGGCTTGTATTATTATGGAGAAAAATATTTTCATATTTTCATCATATAATCATTATTATAATTTAATTATCACAAGATCCTAATGATATTCAAAGATAAACCAAAAAGAAAGGTGAAATTTCATTTTAATGATCTCATGTATGATAGCAATTAAAATTTTTTTTTTTTTTTGCAAAAATGAAATTTATCTACCGAAAGATGGTACTAGTGTTTTATTTGGAAAGTTTTTTTCCATATTTTTATATAAAATAATATATTTTGAATTCCAAACAATAGATGGCGGTTTTTATGCTGAAATTGATGGTCAATGTTCCACACTCTTTTTACTTCGCAAGCTATAGCTTATGTGATACAAAATACTAGCTACCATCGTCGTAACATGTTGTTCTCTCTCACCGGTCTTGGTCTTCATTTTTCTCTATTTTCTCTCTCTTTTGCTTCGATGATCATAGAGCTGAACTTTTTTTTCCAAACGCGCGTAATTCCTAACCATTCAGTTTGATTCAAGTGTCTGACCTGTCAACATACACACATGGTATTTGAATTGGTAGCCGACATTGTTTATTCTGAAACTACTTGAAAATCAATATCGCCCTATGACCGGTCCATACAAACTACACTGTGATTATATCGTAATAACCTCCACTACCATATGATGTATGTCACAGAATCATCTACTATGCATCCAGAACTTTCACCTTACCGGCTTCCATTTCATTGGTTACAATTGGAACAGTTCATTTTTGTTCCTGAACATTTGGTGAATCATTCATCCTATTTTATTGTGAACGTTTCATTTCTATTGGATGGGTATTAATTTACTCATCACTGCATTCATTCGATGAAATCGAAAAAAAAATATCTCCAAAGGCTAACATCTCGTTACATTCGCGGCATTGTTACACTTGTTTCCAACTACACCGACCAACCAGCTATATAGCATCCACTAATTCCATTGTTGTATTGGTCGTTATTGGATCGATCCAAAAACCAGAAACTGTGATGTGTGCTTCATACTACCCATTACTGCTACTACTATTCCGGTGAATGATTCCAACGAAAATTTTATTAATGTTTCATGTATTTTGTGTAAGAATAACATAGACTGTTCCATAGAAGAATATTCACAGTAGCAGTAGCAAATAAGAAAAGTACTAGATGATGGTTGGTTCCTGAATCAAATGAAAATCTTCCACATCTTCATCATTGCATTTAATATATGTTATTAAGAATGAGCATAAAATCATATCGAGCAGAATCTTTCATTGTATCTGAGTCTGTGAATGTGTGTGTGTGTGTGTGCATATTTCAACTGTCCTGTATGTGTATCACCATCGCCATATCATCGAGAATCCATTGTTCTTGTTTTTTTTTGGTTGATAAAAAAAAAATTCCATTGTGTTTTTTTTCAATATCCGCAAATATAAGATTCTTTATATTTTTTCGGATGTGTATATTTTACAAGTTTTAAACGGAAATTATTCTCTTTCTATGTGTTTGTGACCGAATTCGTCAAAATTGCCTTCATCAAATTGATTTGTTTTTCCCATTGGTTATGGCAATTTTTGGACAAAAAACCGGCCATTACAAAACAATGATTGTATGTTGACACCAGCTGGCCAAATATCTTTAATCCAAATTTAAGAATCAATCGAATACATACACATACACACACACACAAAACATACAACATGGCAACAACATTGACCACATCAAGTCATAATCATCAACAACAAAATGATGATAATCAAAGAAATGATAATAATAATTTTGACATCGACAATGATGACAATGATAATGATGATGATTCTGGGGATGATGGTGGTAGTAAAAGGTTCAATACATTGTCATTGTCTTCATCATCAATATTATTAAAAGATTATGACAGTCATCGTCATTGGTATAATCATTATTTGTGGAAAAATTCCTCATCATCATCATTGTGTTCATACATCATTTTTCTTATTATTGATTATTTATCATATAAATTTTGTTCTGTGAAAAATTTTCATCAAAATTCTGGTCAAAAATTTTCATTAAAAATGCCAAATAGTCATCATATCATCATCATCATCATAATAATGAAAATTTATTAAAATTTATTGTGCATTATCTGTTTATAATGGCCAATATTCAATTGTTATGGCCATCATCGATATTAATAACATCGGCTCAACGTATCCTAAACGGTATGTTTATCTTTGCTAAACATTTTTTTCGTTTTATTTTCCTATGGCTATTTGCTACAAAGAATCATTAAATATAATTCTTAGATTCTTAATTTTGGTAAAATGGAAATGGAAAAATATGAATTTTTCGATAAACTTGGGGCTCATTGACCTAAAAAAAACTCTTGTCCATAGCCACTATTTGTTTGTATGTGTATGTTTGAAAATAAAATACTAAACATGAAACACAATCATTGCGGTAGTGATGACTTTGTTTTGCTTTCCAATCAATTTTTATGGATTTGCGATTTGTTTTACCACATGCGTATTTCGAATCGAAAAAAAAGAATAACTAAATTCACTATTAAACCAACCGAAAAACATTATTTTTTTCTTCTCGAAATTCTTTGGATGCGGAGAACAACATGAACCCGAGATGTAAAAAAAAATTGTTCCAAAATAAAACTAGGTCAACCAGTTTATATAGCTCAAACACCCATATGATGATACATACATTTTTTTTTTGATCAAGAATTTTTATTCACATCTCTTTAAATGTTGTTGAAAGCCGGGTCGTCATTCTCGAAATGAATCGTCTTCCTGTTTTATGATGACCTCGTGAGAATGCTCTGTATGCGTGTGCATCTCGTGTTGTCAAATAACATTATAATAAATATTCCATGCAAAGCTTCCATTTTGAAAGAGTTAATGAAATTCAAATTCTTTTTTTTGTTTTGTTTTTCCATTTTCCATAAACAACAACCCTGAAATGATCAAATGAACTTTGATTATTATAAAATCTATTCATTAGTCCATCCGTAAGAGTTGCTTATTTATAATATAAAATGTTCTTGGAACAAATCGTGATTTTCATTTCGGAAGTTTTTTTCTTTATAATTTTTATCTTCTCCACCCATGTCGCGTAAATCAAAATAATCGATAGATGATGATGACCGAACTTAATACCAATACGATTGGGTAAAGTGAAACAAAAAAGTTTTTCTTTTATACAATTTTCGATTCAAATCCACAATGTTTAGTGTTAAATGTAGATAAGATTATCATAATTAAATGATGGTGGTGAAAGTTTTTTCGCTTAAAAGTTCATTTTAGCATCGGAAAACTTTTTTTTTTCTTTACAATTCAAGTTTTATTATCTCTTTATCATCATATAATCAGATTCGTTTTTTCGTTTTCTACGATTTTGGTGTTGGTCATTTGTTCTTTTTATACCAATAGTGGTGATGCTTATCTTGATTTTTTCACAAATGGTAATAATTGATGTAAAATTAACGCTACTTCAACTTTGGTTTATCAATGATAATGATTGAATGGATGTTGTTCATATCGGAACCAATCGGATTGATTGATTGATTGATTGCATCCAGATCATCATCATCATCATCATTCAATCGTCATTTTTATTATCAATGACGATTTCAATTTCAAATTATCATTGCAGTAAAATTGGAAAAAAATGCAATGATTATCTATTTCAAACAAACTAACAACAATCTTGATTTCCCAAATGGATTTGATCATCAAGTTTCGGTTACAAACAAACAGACAAATAAACACAAGAAAAAACAACATTGAAATACCGCATAATGATTGATCATAACATACTCAGCTTTGCTCTACATTTCAATCAAAATCCAATCCAGTGTATAACCAATCTCTTTCTTTTTCCACTATTCGGTTATATTAATCCAATTTATTGACCTATATCATTTGTCCATTAAAAAAATGGTGGTGGTAGTAATCAATCAAATCTAGTCAAGATTCTTGTATAACATTCTATTTGTATTTTTTTTTCATCATCATCATTATAATCATCATTTGTAATATGTCGAGTTATTGTTAATATCATTTTTATTCTCTTTTTTCTCATCATCTGAATGTAATCAATCTTGTCCAATGTGTATGTGTGTGTGTATGTATTTTTATGTTGTTTTTTCTTGTATTTTCTGGAAAATGTCATTGTTTTAAATATTTTGTGAATGGTTGTTGGTATTTATTTTGTTTTGTTTTGTTTGTGATTCGAATACCTAAATAACAAAAAAAAAACATCAATATAATATGATCACAATCATCATCATTAGTAGTAGTTGTAGTTGTAGTTGTATACAGATCTAATTCAAATAATCCAAGTATATCAAATTCAAACAATAAATAATAGTGGTTTGTAATAATATTTTTTTTTTGCCCACATATTCATTTCAAATAGTAAACAATCAAAATAATGATGTTTATGATGATGATGATGATGATATTCAATCAATCATTTTATTATACGTGATTTTGTTTCAAATCGGGTCTTCTTTCGTGAAAATATTCAACCAAACCTTTGCTTGAATAAATAGACTGAATATTTTTCTTTTTAATGATTTAATTTTATTTCATTTTTCTCCTCATACTGTGATGATTGTGTTTCTCAGTTGAATTTTTTAAAAAAAAAACTCATTCTCATTTTGATGATGACTTTTGTTCCAAAAAAATGATAATCATTTTGTGTATCAAACAAAGCTTTTTTGTGTATTATTTTTTTTCTTTAAATTTGATTCGTCACCATTATGGTCCTCATCATTATCATTTTATGGATCAAACACACAAGCATACACATTTGAAAAAGTAATTTGTTTCAGGAACAAACAAATAACAGAAAAATGCTTGTTTTATTGATGATCCAGAAAATTGTAATTTAACCATTTTGTCCACAATGATGATGATGATGATGAGGATAATTGAGGAAGCGTTTTGATTGTTATATTTGATTGGCTAAAATGACCATTATACAAAACAGATATATCATGCTTGACAAACATTAAAATGAAAACTGAAAAAAAAAAAAAAAAAAATATTGATGGAATATTATCACATCAAATCAAAAATTCAGATATGTCACTATATCATATTCTATGTGTTTTTTTTCCTGATTGAAGACGATTGGTGACAATTTCATCCGGTTTTTTTCTTGGAAAGATTTTGAACTTATGGAATTTGTATAATGATTATTCATTTCCAACTGCTTTGTACACTGTTGTGGGCTAATCAAACCGGCATGAATTTTTTCCTGACTTGATCACACACACACACACACACACATTCATTTATTATTACTGCCAACCAACCAATATTAACACGATTCTCATTCGAAAATTTCAATCAAATTTTTGTTACTTTTAATGGTGCACTTTACCTACACAATTTAAAAATACAAAATTCAATTTCATTTTCATCATCTACATCCGATTATTATCGATTCAATTGTGTGTTTGTTTTTTTCCATGTTTGTTTGTATTTTGATGTATTGGCCATCATCATACATATTATTATTATTATAATTTTTAAAAAATCTTTGAATCGAATCTAAAATAACCAAATCGTTTTTGCGTCAATCATCATCATCATCATCATCATAATCGGTAGATTATAATGGCCAATAGACTGAAATTATGCCGAACATAAATTGGCCTTCAATAAAAAAAAAATATATTGGCCAATCAATTGACCAATTGACCAATTCAATCTATTCATTCATGTGGGAATATTTTTCTACTTACTCACTGAATGAATGCCGTTTGTAACAAACAAACAAACAAAAAAGCCAAACATCACCTGTATCCATCATCATCTAAACGCGCACAACCACCACCATCGAAAAAAGGGATGTGTTACATTGTTGTCCATTGCGTTTTGATTGATTGCCCATCTTGTTTAGTTTGTTTGTTTGGACAACAACAACAACAACAAGTTGCCATCCATCCATTTAGGCATCATCATCTGGCCTGGATGATGATGGCAGTATACCATAATTTGTTCAATAAAGATGGCCATCCATTTTTCTTTTATTTTCAAACCAAACAAACAAACAATACAGACATAATTCAATTTCAAAGTTGAAAAAAATTCAGTTTTTAAAACATTCACTTTTGATTTCTCTCTCTCTTATCTCTTATGTATTCTTTTGGATTTTCAATTACATTTAGCTTTGGGTGAGAGAATTGGCCATTGTCAATGTGAAATAACCAACATTGAATTAACGTAAATGTGAAAGTGAATATTTTTTCTTTTCATATTTATCCATACAGAATTTCAATTAAAATTTTTTAGAAATTCATTGTCAATTCATCAGCAATTTAAAATCCACAAATCAGATGATTTTTTTTCTATTTATAAAAAAAATAAATGGGTTTTTAATTTCGTTTGAAAAAAGTGGATTTTATTTCAAAAATGTCAATACCAATGACCTATTGACTATTTATAAATTTGAGAAAAAACAAATTTATCTAAATGCTAAGGTTTTAATTTGTTTTCGGAAATTTTTTTCCCGTTTTCTCATTCTCCATCCATTTATCCACCTAATCTCGGTTATTTGTGCTACCACTTTTGTTTATTGTTTTTGATTCAAAAAAAAAAAAAAAAAATAATAATGCTTAAAATCCCCAAAAAGATTATGATTAAAAAAAATCGGAGGAAAAAAATTTCCAAATTTTTTTTTTAAAGATTCACAAAAAATATTTCGATGTAATGCGATTTATTTGTGTGTGTGTGTATGACATTTATCCAAAAAATTTCAATGGCAATTTGATCATTGATTGATTGATTGAATAATTGACAACAGGTTGGGGTTTTATTTCATCTGTGAAAGTGATGAACAAACTTAAATTTAACCATTTTTTTAAATTGAAAACATTAATGGTTTTTTTTCATCATTGTTTAACAAAAAAAAGAAGAAAATTTCATAATGAATGTGGTGTTGAAAATTCATTCAAGTGTCGAATCGCAATAATTTTTTTTAAAAATAATCACGAACACAAACACATACACATCCTGCCTTGATGTGACATTGTCGTAATTATTAATAAATGATTATCAAAGAATGACGATGACATTTTGATGGCCGTATTGGCCATATGCTCATCATTATCAATTGTCATTGTTGTTGTTGTCACACATCTTTATACTTACCTGCTTTTAATTATCATTATCGTCATTTGCCATTCACTGTAGATTAGATA